CCTCGTAGTGTGAAATTGAAAATGGTTGGGTATGCTCCAGGGGGATACATATTATGGAATGCTAATGAAAGGAAGATACACATAGAACGAAACGTATTGTTTAGGGAAGAAACATGTTCAGAGTCCCCTGAAACGATTAGTATTGACGTAGAGTCTATCTCAGATGGGAAGGAGAAGGATGATGGTAGTAGTCCTGAGAAAACCAAAACCCCTTTAATTTCTGATAAAACTCAAATCCATGGTACTGAGAAAATTTTAACTTCTGATAATAATTTAGAGTCATTACAAACTGAGGGAAGGGATACAGATAATGTTAATTCTAGGGAGAAAAGAAAGAAAACTAAACCAAAATATTTACAAGATTTTGTCACTGATAATTCAGATTTAGGTGATATATTTATGGCATCATTTTTATCTTGTTCTAATGGTAATGTCCCAGAAAAGTATAATGATATAGATTCTTATGACGATAAAGATAGGTGGTATGAAGCGGTAAATGAAGAAATTAAATCTTTAAAGGATAACAAGACTTGGGAAGTTGTAGAAAGATCAAACGATGCTAAGTTAATTGATTGTAGATGGATTTTTACAAAAAAGGCGGGTAATGTATATAAAGCTAGATTAATTGCAAGGGGGTTTCAACAGGAAGGTAGTTTTACCGAAATTTATTCTCCCGTTTTGAAATTACAAATTCTCCGAGTTCTTTTATCATTAGCTGTTCAAAGGAACTATTTAATTCATCAAATGGATGTTAAAGGTGCTTTCCTTCATGGAGAAATTGATGATGTTGTATAATTAAAGCCCCCACCTGGTGTAAATATAAATACAAATTATGTCTTGAAATTCAAAAAAATCACTTTACGGACTTAAAAAATCTTCAAAAAAATTGGTACAATAAATTTTATGATTTTATAAAAAGTAAAGGGTTTCAAAGAGCAGAAAGTGATTATTGTTTAAATTTTAAGGATGGTATTTACATTTTGTTGTATGTGGATGATTTATTAATTTTAGGTGAGGACAATTCAAGGATAAATAATGTTAAAGAAATTTTAAGCACAGAATTTAAAATGAAAGATCTAGGATCTAAAAATTTAAAGTATCTGGGTATTAATATTATTCAAGATAGTGACTGTTTGTATATTAACCAGAAAGAGTATTTAAAATCTATATTGACAAAGTTTGGTATGTCTGAAATCATATAGTGTATAAAACCATCTCTTCCAAAAAATTTAATTATATACCTATACCTATTTTTAGTTTTATTTTATCCTACATACTCCTCTAAAGTAAAGAAGGTTGGTCAAATCGTACCAGATGACGAAACGATGGCGTCACTATATGCCATATTTATGAAAAATACTCTTATTTTTTAAGGTCTTACAAAACACAAAAAATACCTCTAAGTACCCACAAAAAAGTTATCCATTTATTTTTGTTTTTGTAACTGTTCCGAAATTATTTAAAATAATGGTTTCAGAACGCACTGGAACGCATGTAATGACGAATCATTTTGCGTACGAAAGGAGTTTGTATTCAAAGTCAAACACTATAATTACTTACGTTTTTCTGAATAGTTATTAATTGTAATTCAATTCAATTACTATGTAGAGATCAAATCAACTACCATATTGATTTATAATGTACTGGATTCATGTCATAAAAATAATTATGTAGCTTCATAGTAAGCTAAGCGTTTTGTTCAATTACGAATAACGGAACGTCATATGTCATCGATAAGTTACATAATCTGTGGTCATCAGTCGACGCTATTAACAAAGAGAATATAATCACTACGTTTTAAGAGGCGGGACTTCCATAGTAAAAATAATTGCATGAAATTACGCCAAGTTACTCTACCAACACCAAGATATGACATTTAGTTTTGAGAAACAGTGCTGACAACATTGACGAATTACAATAGTGCTGTAAATGTCTATCCTCGAATAATTTTATCGATATAACCTTTATCGATATATTGTTTATCGATATTTTTACATAAGAAAAGTTAGATCTCTATACTGAATTATATATGAAATAAAATTTTTTACGTGTGGATTGAGTAAAAATGCCGATGAGGATAAGAAATCAATGTATTTTACACACAGCAATTTGTATTTATATCTCTACAATTCGGTACAAAAATATGTATAAAGAAAATATAAAATAAAAAACGCACTTTTATACTAGTAATTAATTAAGTAAAAATAAATGACGACTCCGTAGCGCCACTGCGCTAAGCGTTTGGCTGCGGCATTGCAGGACCGAGGCTTCCTTCTCGCACTGAACAATTGTTGCTATGTTGTAAAATAAATAGTCTGCGTCTGGATGCTTGTTTTCAACATTAGTTTTTTTAAGGGTAAAAATATTGAGTTTTTAATACTGATTGGATTAAATTGCTTTTATGTGTAACAAATACTATGTACAAATCGCTAGGCTTCTTCACAGAGGCACCTATGTACATACTATTCGCAGAGATCGTTTTCTAATCGTCGCTTTCAAAATAAGTGCTCATTATAGGTAATGTTTATTGATGAATAAAATAAAATAATCTAATTCTTGCCAAAATGTGACTTTAGAGGGATATTATCTTTTGCTACATGTAAATGAAACCTAATTAACATACACATAAATTGTGGAAGTTTAAAGTAAGTCCACTAAAGAAATAACAGTTCGTTTTAGTTGGGTTCATATGCAATGTTTGTCACAAATATGTCTTAACATGTGAATCTTTTCAATTGGTGCATTTGCCAGCTATTTCACCCATTGCTTGCATCTGAAAAAATAATATAAATAAAATCACATTATTATTGAACAAATAGAATGTTAGCAGTCAGAATTGACTTATAGTTTCTAAGTATAGTTCGTTTCGGATTGCCAAACCATCGAACTATCAGATTTGGGAAATAGTGTGTTTGTATTTGTGCACACAATCGTACACTATAAAAACATGTCCTACATAGATGGCTAGTCCAAAAATATACTCGCGTTAAATATCATATTACTATTAAAGTTGAAATCACCACATACCTTTCATCATCTAAGGGAAATATTGCTACGAATAGCCTTTTCTTGTTATCATTTTTTCCGCTTCTCGCACCATTTAATTGGAACGTTTTATAATGCATATTTAATTTCTTAACAATTCTGTAAATAAACAACGGCTCCTATAGCAAAATTAAAAGCAATCTTAATTAATAAAATATATACAAATATAATTGTTTGATTTGACATTTGAACCTATTTCATTTGACAATGTCATTAATAGACATATCACGAAAAGCATAAAGAAGAGTATCCGTCATTAAAATTTGACCCCTGTAGTACATATAATTTTTACTATGGAAGTTGCACCAGCCTGGCTATTAATTGCTTTGAGTTTGAGCATAGAAAATAGTATTTAAATAATATTTTCTATGCTCAAAGATTGATTGTCACCCGGCAATAATTCGCATCATCTTATTTGCTGCACGCGTTGTTGTGGATTATGATACTGACGATAATGATCTGAAAGAAATCGAAATAAATGGAAACGAGATTGCTGATTATCCTCCTCGATTATCGCTTACTACACTGTTAGGCTACGTAGCAGTCGGATAATAGGTAGTTGTTTATTCTAACCCCAAAAGTATTGTTGACGTTATTATAAAACATTGTGGCTATTTAGATATGATTTTAAAACGGGATGGTGTTTACAACATGAAATCAAACCAATCTAGCTATAGTTTGTTTTGGGACATGAAAATAAAAGTCAAGTCCAGCTCATATAGAAATTTGGCCATTGTTCTTTGAGGAATTCACCCAATAGGTTTGTGAGGCTCGAGCCAAAATTACTCAAAGAAAGATGCCCATTTTTCACCTAACTATGTATAGAAAGGAAATAAATCTTAAAATTCAGCTAATTGAATTGTAAAATAAATACGCTTATCACAATGTTAAAAAAAAAACTCAGGAAAAACTTTTTTTTTAAATATTTATTCAAACTAATTCTACGTCAAGGGTAAACGTATTACCACCATTTTTTGAACGCATCTCAACTACCCTTTTTCTTGGACGTTCCAATTTACACACTGCTACATGCCTTAATTGAACTGTTTCTGAGTTTTAAACATTATTGTATGTTTTATTTCATCAGTAAGTATTTCTATTTTACTCTTTGTATACTACATATTAATTAAAAATAACATAATAATTAAATAAAATAATCATGCAGTATGTCATTGAGTGCGCACGAGTGAAGCGGATTTTTTTGACATTTGACAGTTCTACGATCTGCATCGGCGCAGTCCTTCGTTGTCGTTTGTTGTTGCCAAAGAGAATACAATCACTTGTTGGTTGTTGCGTTTGCGTCTCGTTGTGTATTGTGCCATTTTGTATGTTTTCATGGACCATATAGAATAGAAATATGTAGGAATACACAAGATTTTTCTCAGTATAATCTCAGAGGAAGTGATGATAGAACATTAATAAGAGATAGAAAAATTAAGTATTTGGTAACGGCAAATCCTAACCTAAAGAGTAACATGAATATTTTTGGGCTTCGTAGCGTTTAAATCGTAAAAATGACTGATTTTTAAATGTATGAAATTTAGGCATGGTTCTTTGTCTTAAATAAAAAAGTTACAGAATACAAGAATGAAATTCCCGCTAAAAAGTTTTATATGGGCACCCACCGTAGCGCTTTTAGTGTACACTCATCACAAACACGTTTCCTTTTTTTTAGTATGAAGTTGGCGTTCTTCTTTCGGTAGCGTAGATAGAGGATTTAAGATACTATGTCTATGCTCGATAGAGATAAATTGTCATTTGTCATAGATAAATAAATGTATAGCTAGTAATTGTGTTCTGTCGTTCTGTGTTAAGGACTTTATAATTTGTGGTGTTATAATCTTTGGATGCAGTAATTTCAAAGTTAATTTCCTTTTTTTTTAAAGAAAGTTTTAAAAACAATAATAATTGCTTAAAACTTTTATTTGTTTTACAAATTTCTAATTAACTGAAGTATGGCTACTAGTCGTTTAGAGAGAATAGGCACAATATTTACGAGGTATGTGTTTACAAATTCTTAACCTTATTTTTTCTTTTCACATTAAAAAAAAATTAAATTTAAAAAGGCGGTAAAATTCTTTAAGCGGGAAAAATCTTGCGTGTGGTTGATACGATTTTTATTATTGAACAGCAATAAATTGCTTTGTGATTACTAATTGAAGTGTTGATATAATGTCAATGATGAAGAAATCTGCTAAATCTAAATTTATGTCTGACGATCTCAATGATTTTATTAATGAATCTCAGTTCATAAAAGATTCACCAAAAAATAAGAAGATTCAAAAACGGCTAAGACCTGAAATAGCAGAAGAGAGCACATCCAATACTGTTAACAACAATACAAGTTTAAAGAAAAAGAAAACTGAGGGATCTTTCGAGGTTTGTAGAGAATCGCGTCAAAAACTGCTGAATGTTATGAATCATCAAATAGAGGCAAGGTATGAAAAAATTCACACGAAAATTTATGTAAATATGTCATGTTAAATAAGTTGTATTCATACTGTTATACCATTCTTGCATTTCAGGAAACAAACTAATGAAAGCTTACTCAAGAGTTTATCTGAAATTGTAACTCACTTAGAGGCTGATTATAACGCCTTAAAAGATAATGAACAAAAGTTAGAACATCTTACAGGAGCATTCATTAAGTGCATTCAGCAGGCTACTAATGCACACAAGCAGAAACTTAAAGCTTTAAAAGAAGTTCATTCTTCCTTTAAGAAAGAGTAATATATGTAATAAACTATTAATTTTTTTAATTTGCTTATTAGTTTCTTATAAACTTTAATTTTGCAACAGATGTGAGGAAATGGAAACTGATCATAGAGCAGCGACTGATAAACTAGGAGAAGAATTAGAAGAAGACATCAGAAAACTGCAACAAAAACTGGTGTCTGAAACAAAACGTAGTGGATGGGAAACATTGAGGAGAACTATCTTTCAAGCAATGCAGAATGATTTTTAATTTTAATGATATGAATTTATTACTTTTTGCTACTAATAATAATTATTGATTAAAAAGTTTTTCCAACTTCCACATGCCTTCTTTTTATAATTCACTGAAAATATATACAACCAGAAACAATTAAAATCAACTAAATTGACAATAAAGGCTGTTGCTAATCATATGATTAATTTTCAAAATTAATTTTATATCATTATAATGTTGCTTTAAGGAAGCTCAGCCACACCTTGGCTTCTGTCATTGATGTTGTAAGATTGGTGATAGCCTAATTATATGAGTAAAATAATGTATTATTACACATGAACATTATATCATTAAATTTTCTAAAATTATTAAAAATATTTATTAATTTTAAATTTAAGATATATCAGACAAATAGAAATAAATAAATCATGTGATAATCATGTAAATAAGAAAAAATAATTGACTCTCATATTTAAAATGGACCAAATTGAGAGTACCTTTAACCAATGTGCATGTACAGAGGCTGCACTAAAAGTATCGGGAATGGAATATTTCCACTGTTCCTGTCATATTAAAATCTTTTTAATTGAAAAGACCTTGGTTTTAAAGATCTAATACCATTTATTTATTTAAAAAAAGATTCTCGGTCTTGTCACAAGGTTTTGTCAAACTTGTTTAGTCGTTGAGAAAATGGAACTGACTCGAGAAAATTCAAGAGCGATGATTTATTATGACTTTCGAAGTGGTTTAACACAAAAACAGTATGTTGACCGGATGATTTCTGCATTTGGTGACGAAGCCCCATCCAAAACCACAATTTATCGCTGGTTTACTGAATTTCAACGTGGACGTGTCAAGCTCAGTAATGATCCCCGTCAAGGTCGTCCAAAAACTGCAGTCACCCAAGAAAACGTTGATGCTGTGCGTAAGCTGATTGAGGAAGATCGACATGTGACATACCGCGAAATTCAGGCAACTTTAGACATTGGCATGAGTCAAATACAAATAATCTTGCATGAACAATTAGGTGTATAAAAGTTGTTTTCCCGATGGATCAGTCAGATGGCGTCAGAACTCTCGAAAAATTCCACGCAGGATCCTCAAATGCTGTATACAACATCGTATCAGGTGACGAATCCTGGATAATGAATCGCGTACGAACCCGAAACAAAAAACCAGTCACGAGTTTGGGTGTTCGAAAATGATTTAAAGCCAACAAAAATTGTTCATACACGGAAAAAATGGTGGCCACGTTTGTCTCCAAAACCGGCCATGTTACGACTATGCCTCTTGAGGGACAAAGAACGGTTAATGCAGAATGGTATGCAAGCATTTGTTTGCCACAGGTCGTTTCTGAACTCCGTAAAAAGAACTGCAACCGCCGCATCACCTCTATCACGACAATGCGAGTTCTCACACCGCACACAGAACAAAAGAGTTTTTAGAGCAAGATAACATAGAATTATTAGAGCATCCGCCGTACAGCCCCGACCTAAGCCCTAATGATTTCTATACTTTCCCTAAAATAAAGAATAAATTGCGTGGACAAAGATTTTCATCACCTGAAGAAGCTGTGGACGCCTACAAAACGGCCATTTTGGAGACCCCAACTTCCGAATGGAATGGTTGCTTCAATGATTGGTTCCATCGTATGTAAAAATGTGTCAAATTTCGCGGAGAATACTTCGAAAAGCAATAAATACATTTATAAATAGTAATGTTGTGTCACTTCCTTGATTCCCGAAATTTTCAGTGCCGCCCTCGTATGTGTAAATTTATGGATGTAAAAGAATCAATGTCAGTACATTATCTCACACAACACTACTAGATCGCGGGCTAGAATTGACAATTCTGAGAAATCTTCAGATCTAGAGTCACATATGTTGTAAAATGGCTGATAACATGAATAGCATGTTGCATGGTAATGTGGGCTGAGGAAGCATACAGATTGACTGAAAACTATTTTTTTTTGTCAATATTAATCATTTATTATAATAGAATAATGCATCATCATTCATCATCCTATCAAAAACATCTGGCTATACTTCTACAAACCATTTGACGAACAAAATTGTTAACTGTTACCATTACAGCTCACTAAAGTCCACTGTTGAACATAGGCCTCCCCCTTAGATTGCCTCATAGGGGGAATATTTGCCATAGTTCCTACGCTTGGCAAGCAAGTTGGCAATAGCAGTTTTTTAGTTTTAGTTGTTATTAGATAAACGCTAGCATACAGGGCTAAAGCTAGACATCTTGGCCTAGATCACTCCCCGAAGTTGCTTGCAACATCAAAGGACTGTTGAACTTCTTCGGGAGATTTCATGGCTCGAATAATCACATTATTCCTGCCCCCACGCGTAAAATACGCGCTTAGACGTGGAGTTGCGGAAAACAGCCCGTCGTAAACTAAACTAAACTAGGTACACGCTGCTGCCCATCTTCTGATTTGTTTCCCTCGGTCGTCTTTTACGATACCCACGGGACGATATAGGGTAGTGAATTAATCTTACACCGCCACTTCATGGTTGTTGTTGTTATAATTAAATGTTCAATACTCACCCCACTTTTGTATAAACTTGAGGCATTATTTTCTGTTATTACATATTTAATAGTCCATATTAATGATTAATATTTTATTTGGCCTGTGGTCTATCATTTTTAGGTTTCCGTAGTTACACAACAAGGAACCCTTTAGTTTCGCCATGTCCGTCCGTCCGCGTTTTAGTTCACCCTAGGTGCTACAAATCTGTAATTTGTCATAGTTATTAATCACGCCTAGAAAAATGTGAAATAAAATCTTAAAATAAACATTTTTGTTTTAGGTACAAGTAAATGAGGATGATTTTTTTTAACCGTCTATTCCATCATGTGGGGTATCATTGGATAGGTCTTTCAAAAACACTGGGGGTGTTTGACCGCTATAACGACTAAAAATGGGCCCACATAGGAAGATCGTAACTGAAGGCCTTATTTTCAAATCAGACTTATAGGGGTGATATACAAAAAAAATTAAAAAAACTTTTCGATTTTGAAAATAATACAATTTACATCAAATCATTCACATGCCACATTCAATGCCACATGGTACAAAGATGATCATAGTTGTCGATCTATCTATATATTCCCGGCAATACAACCCTAAGATATATGACCGTAACGAACCTTCACATAAACCACAACTGCCTTAAATTATCCTGATGTCGCCCGCGTAAACCGAGAGTGTGACGAATGAAACTGTATGAGGCTATATGACTGTATGAAAACTTTGACGAGGCCTAAAATAACTACCAACTAAAAAATAAGTGAAAGTAGTAAGTAAGAAAGATCCTCCCTGCCTATCCCGCAAATGAAAAAGTAAAGCTATAGTATTAATACATATAAGTCGTTTCTTCATATAAAATGTATAATTAAAAAGTTATAATGCATGTAGTTTTAGGTCATTTTCTATACAAATACAAATATTTTATTGGTAAAAGTATATGTTTTACAGTGTGTAGGCCTTATCCATTTAAGTTTTAAATAAACTTGTCCTATAATAAAGCGCTCTTCAAGTTTCTAACAATTTTTACATGTATATTAACAATTTTTTTAATTCCTAGAACTCTGCAACGGAGTAATATCCAAAAAGTAAATTATACTAAATCATATGTAATTTAAAAATCGTATCTAATCTAAATTCAGTCACCAAGGTGTCATAACAAATTTTGAGTCTTAAGGTAATCCAATTTCATCAGCCATGCAATTAACGTTCTTTTACATTCCGGAAATGACATCTTATAAATGTATAGTAGGTACTGTAATTATATTATTATATAAAATTATTGATTTTGAACAGTATTGATGTCGTGCAAAAGTTGTTTTTGATATTTTTTACGAATAACCCAGTATGGCCTGAATCGAAATGATGTTGTTTCACACCCCCAATGTTTTTGGAAGACCTATCCAACGATACCCCACATGATGGCATAGACGGGTAAAAAAAGCATCCTCCATTTACTTGTATGGGAAGTAGCCCAAATAAAAATGTTTTTTAAGATTTTATGTTACAGTTTTCTAGGCGTGATTAATATCTATAACTATGCCAAATTACAGATTTGTAGCACCTAGGGTCTCTGAGCAAAACCGCGGACGGACGGACATGGCGAAACTATAAGGGTTCCTTGTTGTGTAACTAGGTACGGAACCCTACAAAAAGGCGTATGCGTCACGTAGAACTATTAGTTAATCTGTGGTATGCGCCTGTTTTATTTTCTTTATTGGTCTGTAAAAGTCTACATGACACAAGTGAGGACTTGGGCCTCTCCCGTTGTAGGGAGTATTTGCCTTAACCGTCATGCTCATCAAGCGGATTGGCGGTCTGACATAAACGAAGTATGTAGTTATACCGCCATCAACCGGAAGTCATAAGATTGTTCTGGCATTTCCCATGACGCCATTTACGACACCTTCCGGACGAAATGGTGTGATGAATTCTCTTACGTCACCAGCACACGCCACCCCTTTCGTTTATTGTTCTTTTTATCATAATTTGTCAAATACCTAATATTAACTTTCGCAAAATCGTTACGAACACATTCGTAGACACGGCGCTATGTATGTTCACAATTAATATAATATGTAAGAAAAATAATGTTATGTACCTATTTATTATTTGCAGAGTTGAAGGGCTTCTAACACGTGGAGCGATGAAACCTGACGACAGACCGTTATGGTTCGATGTATACAAAGCATTTCCTCCCATCATAGAACCTAAGTTTGCTAGGCCAAAGCCTGAAGCGAAACCTATTAGGCAAATTCTTTACAAAGAAGACATCATAAGAGCGTAATTACTACTATCTTTAGCTTACCTACTTTTTACCTTAAATTTTAAATTTATTTTATTTTGTAGATTGTATATAATAATAGATATCGATACTTATTACGTAATTTACTTTTAAAGTAGCTTCGTTTTATTGCCAAAGCGATATTACGAAATTTGAAAATATAAAATATTCATACATATCATACATACAAGCGTTTTATTTTAGTGTTCTGTGATTTTATTGCAGGAAATTTCATGCCGAGGGTCATGGCATAGGAATAAATATGTTAAGTCCTGCAGGAGAGACGCAAGTTAAAAAACTAATACAACAATACGAAAAACTGAAATCAGAAGGAGTACCAGAAAATGAGCTTATTGAAAAATCAGTTGCGGCTGTATCCACTGAACGGCAGTTGGATGCGAAAATTTCTTCTAAAAATCCTGATTCAGTTACCGCACAAGTTTTGTCGGAGGCAGATTTAAAAAATATATTCAAAGAGTAAAAATACTTTGAAAGAATGTTTTTTTTGTACATAGTTATAAATTATACTTAGTTGTCTTAAAATATTACTTATCATTTATATGTAGTAATTAGAAATAAATAAAGAGTGAGAGTAATTTATTTTGTATTTTTAGCCGACTTAGATAAAGGAGGAGGTTCACACTTCGACTGTATTTTTATAGTATGTATCTATATTACGCGATATCTGCGTCAATTACAACCCGATTTTAAAGATAATTTCTTTATTAAATATATACTTCGGGGATAGTCTCAAATAAATCCGCAAAAAAAAATCACCTCAAAAGGTGGCAAAATTGGTATGAAGTTTTTAAGAGAACGTGAATAGAATAGAATGATTTTTATTCAATATTGATTATTACATAATACTTATTGAAAGTCATTTTTTTATTTACCACTGGTTCGGAAAATACCTCTGGCCTGGGAAGAACCAGAAAGAAACCCAGCGGGACTTTATTTTTAAACATAATTTCACTTAACAATAATTTTGTTTATACAATTTCAAATGAATTTTCATAGAACCAGCATGGTGGCGATCACCTTATTCCCAGGGGTTATTTTCATTTATGTATTCCTAGATATTATAATAACCCTTTTTGTACAGTTTTTCTTTAATAAAACTTTTAAACTTGTTTATTGACAAACTTTGAACATGTTCTGGGATTTTGTTGTAAAAGCGTATACATTGCCCCACAAATGAATTACTAATTCTGTGGAGTCTCGTGATATTCCTTAGTCCACTTAAAAGGGTAAAAAATTTACTTTATTTATGTATTTCAATTATACATCATATTCAAACTCAAACATTTTATTGCTTTCATGTGGTTACATAAATAGTACTAATGTTAGTAATTCGGATTTTACGAAAGGTTATTTTTTTAAGCATTCATTATGCTGGGATTCGGACACAGGACTCGGTGGTCACAGGTATTTACTAAGTTAATATACTTTACTTTATATAATTATAAAAAACTCTTCCAAATTTAAAACGATATTTCCACAATAGTCCACGACTTTTTCTGCTACCAGGGTGGCGACACTAGAAAGTGAGGTATAATAATTGACAGATTTCATAGCAGGGAAGTTAATTTGTTCAGAAAATGTAAAGGTTATTGTTTCTTTCTGTACTATTAGCTATATTTTATATTAATAAGATTAAAAATAAATAAAACCAAACCACAAATATTCATAATAAATTTAAAAAAAAAGTTAAAAATGCGCAAAGAATTAAAGAGCAAACCACTGACGCATTGTTTTGTGTATTAATATAATACTCTAGAAACTGATAAACTTATTAAAAACCAATTTCTCAATTAAATGACATTGTGTAACAGAAAAACTTTACCTCAGTGTCAACTAGCGACATCTGTTCAACAGAAAATTATTAGCCCTCATTCATTATATTTTATGGCGGCTCTTCACGTTGGCCAACATAGTGGCGAATGTGTTGGCAGAGATATTGACCAAGAATTTGTGATAGCGTCCACACGTTGGAATTGGAAGATCGTTCAGTTTGCTTCGGTTCGGGCCAATGTACGAACGAATTTAATTGATGCGCTAACGGCTGCTGCAGTTTATTTATTCACACCATACCACTACAACGTGAATGTGTATAAGATAAGGATGATCAAAAAGAAATGGAAAAAAAGAAATTTTATTTCTTGACGGCTCCAGGACGTAGTGCCTTAGCAATGAGTTGCTGCGCTGGGGGGCCGCGGGTTCGAATCCCGCACGGAACTAATAATTGTATGGCCTGCAAATAATTGCTCCGGGTCTGGATGTTTGTCGTTATGCAATTTATGTTTGTAAACTGCCTCCACAATACAGGAGAAAATCCTAGTGTGGGGGTAACGTTTTTTTTTTAAAAAGACTTGAAAGATTTGTGTTTCACAAACAATTTTCGGCTTGGTAGGCTCTGTAAAGCGAAAAATTTTTCATAATAAAAATTACACGCGAGTGAAGTCGCGAGGATCAGCTAGTTAGTTAATAAATCTGATATTTATACAATTACATATTATTCAACTTAAAAATATCAGAGTAATGTAATTTAACTTTTTTGCAACTCAAGCATTTCCAACATAAAGCCACTGTTTACATACTTATGATTTTTTTTTAAATAATGAAATAAAAAAATGTTTTGAAGTTTGTTGAAATATGTAACACTAATTATAATACTATGTGTTTTGATTAATAACCTTTGGTTATTTTAAGTAGTAGGTAACAAGGCGAGATCAAAAATCACTATTACTTACGAGTATTTATAAAATTATGTAAGCACTAAACATAAAAGTCAATTCACATAATTGCGGGACTTGACAATAAAAACACAATTTTTAAAGTTTTTGTCTGTCTGTTTGTTCCGGCTAATCTCCGGAATGGTTGGACAAATTTTTACGTGATTTTAACTAGCAGATAGATGATGTTATAAGAAATAACTTATGGTATTTTTATTTTAGAAAAAGAATTAGAGTACCGCGTTAGAAACTTAAAACCCATGAAATCCAATCGTACTAAATCACACGTGAGGAAGTCGCGGAGAACAGCTAGTTTATACCTACAATGCTATGAGAGTTTAATAACCGATCCTGTCTCTGCGGCCATGCCCTAGGGCCCTAGGCTAGTGCCTATGATTTGCCTTATTTTAAGCTGCCTATAACCATTAACGGCGCCGCCAGATTATCATTATTCTATCGAAATCGAGAAACGCCATGATTTGAATAAAATTATACTATTGGCATTGTGTTTATATTTTCATTTCACAAGCACAAAGCGCGAGGTAATCATCTTAGGTGTACGAGTGAAAATTTCTGGAATCAAGGAAGTGACACAACATTACTATTTAAAAATGTATTTATTGCTTTTCGAAGTATTCTCCGCGAAATTTGACACATTTTTCCATACAATGGAACCAATCATTGAAGCAACCATTCCATTCGGAAGTTGGGGTCTCCAAAATGGCCGTTTTGTAGGCGTCCACAGCTTCTTCAGGTGATGAAAATCTTTGTCCACGCAATTTATTCTTTATTTTAGGGAAAGTATAGAAATCATTAGGGCTTAGGTCGGGGCTGTACGGCGGATGGTCTAATAATTCTATGTTTTCTTGCTCTAAAAACTCTTTTGTTCTGTGTGCGGTGTGAGAACTCGCATTGTCGTGATGGAGGATGATGCGACGGTTGCAGTTCTCTTTACGGAGTTCAGAAACGACCTGTGGCAAACAAATGCTAGCATACCATTCTGCATTTATCGTTCTTTGTCCCTCAAGAGGAATAGTCGTAACATGGCCGGTTTTGGAGACAAACGTGGCCACCATTTTTTTTTTGCAACACTCCGTGAACGAACAATTTTTGTTGGCTTTAACTCATTTTCGAACACCCAAACTCGTAACTGGTTTTTTGTTTCGGGTTCGTACGCGTATATCCAGGATTTGTCACCTGATACGATGTTGTATACAGCATTTGAGGATCCTGCGTGGAATCTTTCGAGAGTTCTGACGCACCAAGTAACGCGAGCCGCTTTTTGCTCTTCACAGAGCGAATGCGGTATCCATCGGGAAAACAACTTTTTTACACCTAATTGTTCATGCAAGATCATTGAGTTATATGTACTACGTACTAGAGAAGCCATTCCGAACATTGACTATGTTCAACTGAACTGTAGTGCAATCCATACAAACTAAATATTGCGTAAATTGAAGATTTGTGAATTCCATAAAATAATTATTATTAAATTTTATTTAGAAATATGTTTGTTTAAATTAATTAAGATATTTTATATTAAATTCTTATATTTATTTTATATTAATATCTTATTTTATATCAAATTAAAGTCTTCGCTCATACGCGACTACTACTCCCGCGCATGCGCGCGAAGACATAGAGAGTAGGACACAATTTTTGTTTGGAATGGTTTCTCTAGTACGTAGTACATATAACTCAATGTGCAAGATTATTTGTATTTGACTCATGCCAATGTCTAAAGTTGCCTGAATTTCGCGGTATGTCACATGTCGATCTTCCTCAATCAGCTTATGCACAGCATCAACGTTTTCTTGGGTGACTGCAGTTTTTGGACGACCTTGACGGGGATCATCACTGAGCTTGACACGTCCACGTTGAAATTCAGCAAACCAGCGATAAATTGTGGTTTTGGATGGGGCTTCATCACCAAATGCAGAAATCATCCGGTCAACACACCGTTTTTGTGTTAAACCGCTTCGAAAGTCATAATAAATCATCACTCTGGAATTTTCTCGAGTCAATTCCATTTTCTCAACGACTAAACAAGTTTGACAAAACCGAGAATCTTTTTTTAAATAAATAAATGGTATTCGATTTTTAAAACCAAGGAGTATTCAATTAAAAGATTTTAATATGACAGGAACAGTGGAAATATTCCATTCCCGATACTTTTAGTGCAGCCTATGTATTACTAATCGTTATCTTATCTATGAGATAAAGCTGTTCTAAAAACACACCCGTGCTTCTATCTTCGTAGAGTAAGGACAACTTTCAACTAAAATTGTGTTATAATTCAAGTATTTATTGCATTTGGTTCAGTGATTCAACTAGAAAAATGGCAGAAAAGAAATCCTTGTTGTTCTACTTCGCTGTTATTTTAGGTAAATGATACGTTATTGTGAACTATTGTTTCGCAGCATTGATAAAGCATTTATTTTATTCATACATATGATTCATCATTAGAATATAAAATTTATAAAACCTAAGATTCATAGGTATTTGTTTCATTGTTAATATTTAGATTATTTCTGGTTGAAGAAAATCTATGAAACAAGCTCATCCCTTGGGTACTAACAGAAGTGACTAAGGGGAATGCTAGAAAGATTTAGCTTCTGATAGATGGAGGTAAGCCCACCTATACAGGGTTGTCTTTCAAAGAGTAGCCAGATTTTAAACATAAGTTCAAATATATAAATTTTTGAAAATACAAGTAAATAAGGATTCTACTTTTATTTGAAATTATCGCAAATTAAATGTGATTTATGGGCAACAACGTTTTTGCCTACCGATCGACCCTGACGATTGTGTGCGTGCGCAGTAAAATCAGTTAAAATAATGTATTAACATTTAACACGCATTTTGAATTTGAGAGATATAAAGGACAGAATGTTTGAGATTTTTTTTAGGCATTTGCGTATATTATTTATCCTGAACCTTCTCTGCAAATTTGGGCGGTTATTGCAAAATAACCCTGTATCTCCTGCGCTATTTGGTTATTTCAATTAAAACGTGTTAGACATCGAGATACCTACCTAAGTTGAGTTTATATACCTACCTAAGTTGAATTATCCAAAGATCTTTAAAGTGAATTATACTCTATGTAAAATAGGTTTAGTTATGAATTTAGGTACCCACGTATTGTCTTCGGGCAAATTTTGTTCGCACCAATACAATTGTTTGACGAAAACAATAATTCTTTGATTTTCTGCGAGTACTGGATCTAGTGAATTATAATTCAAGTATGTTTTTTTATAGGATAGGGTGGCAAACAAGCACACAGTCCACCTGTTGGTAAGTTCTTGCTGTGACCCATAGACATCTACATTTATCCTCAATAAAGAATCAAAAATGATTATATAAAAATAATAATCAAAAAATGCAGATGCGTCGTCACCCGTGAGGACTTAGATGGAATGCTTCTTTTCCAGTAAAAAGGGTCTCCGGTTCTCTACACTCACCATACGAAACACAGCAGATTCAAGCTGCCATTTTACGCTAAATGTACTGATGTTATTAAGTAGGCCGATGTTGTCAAATGAGCTATGAGAACAATAACGCAAACCTAACAGTACCTTAATTCGTCCTGATAAATTAAGATTAAAAAAGTTAAAGTTACAGCCTATATTCGTCCCACTAGTGGGCACAGGCCTCCTCTCGTTTTTGAGAGGGTTTTAGGGCAAGGAAAAGTCCGCCGCGCTGCCCCAATACGTGTTGTCGAACTTCACACGTCCTCAAAATATTATTTTTTTTGAATTCACACAAAACAATTTCACTGAATTAACTTGATGCTCGTCCAATCCTATTGCAGCAAACGCTGGGTTCCTCAGGTGGCCGTCCTCTCCGCAACTTTCTTCCTGCTCATTAATTACCCCTTTGTTGTCGATATTCCATGCATTAAAACCAAGCGGTTTGTATCGTCTTTCGTAATGCGAACATCAAAGTAGTGGAATAATTTGGTGGCGTCTGTCTTTCCGTCCGAATACAATCTTCAAGGCATGAGTGAATAGGCTTTTGTTACGCTTGACAGCGCGATTTACAAGTAAAAAATAATTAAAAAAATTATTGTCATATTTTCATGCAAATAATTTTAGTAAGCTTTACTATTTTAATGTGAGCATGTGTACCAAACAAGACTATACTTTGCGAGAATGGTAAGAGTATATGGATTATAAGAGTGTAGTTAAAAGTAGAAGTTAAAGTTACGGACTATATACGTCCCACTGCTGGGCAAAGAAATGTCCCTCGCGCTGCCCCAATGTCTGTTGACGAACTTCACATATCTTCGAAATATTGTTTTCTTATTTCTCAGACCTACAGGTGTCCTCACGATGTTTTGCTTCACCGCCGAGCACGTGGTAAATCAGCACTTAAAATTGCAATTAACAATTTCATTGGTGCCGGCGGGGATCGAACCCGGGTTGCTCGCGTACTGTGTATTAAGAATAAGGTGAAGTGAATCTATTATACGATGTTGTTTGATTTTTAACTTTTACTAAGCATAATACCACAAACTAATAAGAAGTGCCATAATACAAAATAATTAAAACAGCATTTATTTATAAAGTATTGCCAAAAATAAGTAAGCGTACTATTCCAAACTTAGTGACGTATAGAATCTAAGTTTGGACATGGGTTAGAGATACAAGGTTCAACGTCCAATAATTTGTTTCTACTCTTTGTTAGGTTGTTACAATATGTTGAAAAAATCTTTGAGCGTTTCTAAATTTGGATACAATTTGAAGTATGACACATATCCGTTGTATTTGCAGCGTTACTATATTTTGTAATATCAGCAATATGTACAGCGGAGGATTAGATCTAAGCTGGAAGAAGGATCATGTTTTTTATAATGGCAATGTCTACTCCGTCAAGTAGGGTCTGTCTCCAAAATCCTTATGGAATTTAGACATCGTTCGTAATAACATTTTTTTTTAATTTGAGATCTGTTTTATGAAATAAAAATCCTTTTGGTATTTAGTCACTGCGTGTTCGAATCCCGCATAGAAAATTAGTTTGTGTGGCTTAACTGCTCCTAATATAGATGTTTATCACGTGCAATTTATGTTAGTAAAACGCCTCCAATACAGGGGAATCTTAGTGTAATTGGGTAAAGTTTTAGAGAGAGGGAAGATGAATAGTTATCAGCCTTTTTTAGTTTTTTCGTAAACGAAAAAAGTAATCGTATAATCGTAATAAAAAATATTTTCTCAATTTTGCTGCCAATGTTAATTTTTTTTAAGGAAAAACTTTGTAGGTTTTGTACTATATACATAGGTACATCTATACGAGTTATTTTCGAAAATAACTTCTCTTTTTACATTTACAGTTATTTTGAGCACTCTTGCACAAGAAGCGGAAGCCCGAAGAAAAATTCTGAGAGGAAGACGTGTGATGACACGAACTTACTATCGTGAGTCATTTTTTTATCTAACATTACAAATATAACACATTCGTTTGGTTTACATCTACTTTGCTATTTTATATTCCTATCCTTTTATAAAAAAATTGTACTGCGATTCAAACAGTTATTAGTATTGTCTGTGTTCTTAACGATAGGCCATGAAGAAAATTTTCCGAAAAAAGTTTTTTCGTGAAAAACTTAAAAACGAAGTGATTATAAAAATACTCTTTGAAGACACTGGCCACATATTTTATTATTTATAAAATTCGAATGGAAATAATCGAAATTTTCAAATCTCCCTCTACATTTTTTAGTTTTGTTTTTTTGTTTTGGTGTTTGTGTTTCATTATACATACATAGATTTTTTTATAGGAGAGGGGGCAAACGAGCATGCGGCTCACCTGATGGTAAGTGACTACCGCCGCCCATGAACAACTGCAACACCAGGGAGGGAATTGCAGATGCGTTGCCGGCCTTTTAAAAAGGAGTACGCTCTTTTCTTGAAGGTCCCTAAGTCGTATCGGTCCGGAAAAATCGCTGATGGTAATCGATTCAACAAGGAAGTCGTGCGAGGAAGAAAACATCTTCAAAATCGCACAGTGGTGGACCGGCAATCAACCAGATGGTGTGGATGGTATCGGGAGTTATGCTGCGATGTGCGTTCGTGAAATTTGGCGGCTGGGATTAATCCGAACAATTCTTCAGAGCCCTCCCCATGGTAGATGCGAAAGAAAATGCAAAGGGATGCAAAATCTCTTCGCAGTGCCAATGAATCGAGCCGATCGGAAAGGGCTCGGTCGTCGACGATTCGAGCCGCTCTGCGCTGGATGCGGTCAAGTGGAAGGAGCTGGCACTGGGGAGCCCCTGCCCAGAGATGGGAACAGTATTCCATGTGAGGCCGAACCTGTAAAGTTGCAGGCGGTGTGCCGGCATGAAATACTGTCCCGCTCTGCTGAGCACGCCAAGCTTTTTAGAGGCCAATTTGACCTTCTCTTCCAAGTGACCACGAAACTGCACGTCACTCGATATGTTGACTCCGAGGATTCCGATACTGGCTGAGGCAAGAAGGGGAGTGCCTTGAAACTGAGGAAATACGACAAAGGGGTTCTTTTTAGCGGTAAACGCGCAAACTTGTGTCTTCTGAGAATTAAACTGGACTAGATTTAGTCGCCCCCAATCCGAGACTTTGTTCAGCAAAGACTCGACTTCAGACACAAGTTTGTTCCGGTACTCGGCGACGTTTTTCCGAGAAATATTGGCACGGCCGGTGTATAGAGCATCACCAGTGCTGTCATCCGCATAGCAATGAATGTTACCAGTTAGCAACATATCATTGATATGCAGAAGAAACAGCGTTGGTGATAGCACACAGCCTTGTGGAACACCAGCGTTAATAGGCTTGTAGTCAGAACATGCACCGTCTACAACGATCTTGATGCTCCGATCTGCAAGGAAGCTGGTGATCCAATTGCACAATTTCTCGGGAAGCCCATAGGAAGGGAGCTTCGAAAGAAGTGCTTTGTGCCAAATCCGATCGAAGGCCTTCGCAATGTCCAGACTAACAGCCAACGCCTCCCCCTTGGACTCTACTGCCTCCGCCCATCTATGGGTTAGGTAGACCAGAAGATCACCAGCTGATCGACCCCGACGAAAACCGTATTGGCGGTCACTAATCAGCTGGTGATTCTCAAGGTACCGGATGAGCTGGCAGTTAATAATGGATTCCATTATTTTGGAGAACAAGGAGGTGATCGCGATAGGCCTATAGATGGACGGGTCTGAGCGGTCGCCTTTTTTAGGGATCGGGTGGACAAAAGCTCTCTTCCATGAATTCGGGACTACGCCTTGGGAGCAGGAGTACCGGAAAAAAGACGCGTTAGGACCGGTGCCAACTCCGGAGCACACGTCCTCAGCATAATTGGGGGGATTCCGTCAGGTCTACTCGACTTCTGGATGTCCAGGGAGAGAAGTGCTTTGCGAACCGAGCGCTGTGAGAGCAGTACATCCGGCATGGAGCACTCACACCGCGGGATGGTCGGCGGTGTTTTCCCCCGTCATCAAGAGTCGAGTTGGACGCAAAAAGGGAGCCTAAAAGGTCGGCTTTGTCTTTTGCGTCTTGGGCCAGTGAGTCGTCCTCCCTGTGCAGAGATGGTAGTGATGGCTTACAGAAATTCCCTTGGACAGCCTTGGCGAGAGACCAGAATGCACGGGTTCCCGAAGGAAGGCGAACTAGTTTCTCGCCAATTCTGCCTATGTGCTCTGACTTTGCCTTGGCAATAACTCTTTTGAAGGACCTGGAGGCGAAGTTATACTTCTTTTTCAGTGTGCTGGTGTTTACATCCCGAGTCGCCGAAGCCGCAGCCCAGGCTTGATAACACTCCTGCTTACTGCGTAATGCAGTCTTACAGGAGCGACCAAACCAAGGCTGAGATCTGCCTCCGATGGGTAACAGATGATGGAATAAATAGTTCCATTCCCTGTAGCACCACATCAGTGACAGAGTCAGCAACAGCGCTGGGATCATCCGGCGAGAAGCAAACCCGCCCCCATGGGCAGGATGCAAAAATAGACCGTAATGCCAAACACGGTGGCAACCTGCAGAACGCAACCGTGAAGGGAGCGTGAGTGGCACCATACTCCGGATCAGACAATGGTCCGAAGAGCCGAGAGGGAAACCTGGTATCCGTCCGGATGAGAGGTCAACAGAAGGTCCAACAGGGAAGGTGTATGATCCTCCACATCTGGAATCCGCGGAGGTGATGTAACCAGTTGTGTCAGACCATATGCCAAGGCAAAGTCATAAACAGATGTCCCCGCTTGATCGGTTAAACGTGAACCGAGACATTCGGCATGGTGGGCGTTAAAATCGCCAAGGATCACGATCTCTGCGGATGGGGCCTGTTGTAGCAAGGAATCTGCAGACATTTGGACGTGGTCGATGAGTCGGTCTGTTTCGGCATTACCGCTATGGGACTTATAGAGGCACCCGTAGACGCGCGGATGGTCGTCGCTGTCTACGCGTAGCCAAAGGATGGACAGGTCCGAACCTTCAAGACTGCCGAGGCGTCGAGAACAGATGTCCTCTCTGACATACACGCAAACTCCAGCCCGAGACACAAAGGAGTGCTCCAATTTGTACACCGGGTAGGAGAGATACGAAATATCAGCCGGCGAGGAAACCTGCGTCTCGGTCAGAAAGAGCAAGGCCGGCTTCGCCGTCGCGAGATGGTAACGGACGGCGTTTAGGTTAGAGTGAAGTCCCCTGATGTTGCAGAAATTCACGGATAGCGTGGCAGGGGTCGTCTTGGAATTGTTGCTCAGTTTGCCCCGAGCAGTTATGTTTTTGAGCGGAATTTTGCCCTCCCCAGAATACGCGGGGCAGCCTGAGCACCCACGCTCAGGATTGGAATAACATGGTCGTGGATGCTCAGCGAGGGATTCTCCAGGGGTACTGGTACCCTCCTGGGATAGTCTATCGTATAATTCCGCTAACATGTTGATGGGGGGGCGGGGGGGGGGGGGGGGGATTGGGCCTCCGGCCCCCTGCACTCACCAGACGAAACGCAGAAGCAGAGCTTCTACTTCACGCCGGTATTCTGTGAGGTCGTGGTACCAACCCGGCTCGAGCCGGCCCACCGTTGAAAAGATCTGAAACGTTTTCGTGCGATGACTTTAATACGATTTCAATTGTGCCTAAAACCGGGCGAATTGTTTGGTAGACTTCAAATGGCATTTATGGATAAAAATCCTTCTAAGGCAACCATGTAACGCTGGTATAACAAATTTCAGCATGGCCGACTAACTTTAAAAGATGAAGAAAGAAGTGGTCGCTCTTTATAGGACGGAAGGACTTGCTAGCAGCAAAAAAAATTATTGAAGAGAATAGTTGAATTATATGCACATATTGCAGATGTGACCGGAAAGCGAATACGAGACTTTACACGGAACACCTTCGCGTGAGAAGGGTTTTTCGCGTTGGGTGCCGCACAACCTCATTATTGATGCTCAGAAAGAAGCATGTTCTTTTAGAATGATGCCTTGACATGCTAAATTTTAAGGGGCTTTTATCGGTTTGTTTACGATATTATCACAGGTGATGAATCTTGGGTTTATCAACACCATCCAGAAACGACATGCTAGTCGACGGTTTTCCTGTTTTAAAGTGAAGCGATCGACAAGCGCTGGGAAAATTTCGATCGCAAGTTTTTTCACTTTGAACAAAGAAATTAACACCAGATAGCCCGTGTATCTGGTTTCATTTCTTTATTAAAAATCTAAGTACCATCAATACCTAATGGTACACTACCAAATGTTTGTCAGAAGTGTCCACTGCTGTGAACAAGACACCGAACACAGGGTACTATGACATCGCGCCCGCGCACTATCGCTCAAAACGCGGCACACCGCACTCGTTCAACTTTTAGGTCACCCTCCTTACAGCCTTGATTTGGCACCGTGACTTCTATTTATTGACTACTTAATATTCGCAAGCTGCGGTTGGCCAGCCGATAGAGGAGATGTTTAAGGCGGACTGGAAAGTATTTTGAAAATTGGTTCAGACACATGAAACTTTGTGTAGACACTGGTCAAGACTTCTTATAAAAATTTAATAATAAAAACTTTACCTATGGAAGGTTTTTTTTAGTTTCGCAAAACTTTCTGAGTGGCCCACGTATATTAAGAATATTGAAAATTTAGTAATTGATTTAGACCAGGGTTTCCCAACCTTTTTTGACCAGGGACCTCTATGATTCTTTTGTAGTTAGCAGGGACTACAAGGTGAAAGAAGAATTCTGTTGCGCAGAATGTCACTGGGCATTAACATATTATATGAAGAAGTTATAGCGAAGACCATCAACAATCTGGGTTTTTTTAATTGCCAGCTTCTCAGTCATTATTCGCAATTCTTAAAAATAACGGTCGGCAGTAACTGTGGCAACAGATGGCAAGAAGCTATAGTGAAAAAAACCCACAGTAGACTACCAAATTTTTGTAGTTAATCTTTCGTTTCGGGCACAGTTTGGTTAGGACTCCTGACTGTAACCACTGTTATGTGAACGCTTGCGATTGTCGTCGTCGTATGGAATCGATTTCTCATCGCATGTAACAATTTGGTTCAAATTCCTTTCTTTCAGTGTCTATTTAGCAATATGATGCAAGCTTCCCTCGCTAATTTCAATCATTTTTCTTCGTGCAGTACCCATTTGTCAAACTTCTTATCTAATATTGTTTTCATACCAGCCATAGTTTCAGACGGATCTGCTTGCACTAACGCTTTAAGGTTTTATTATTGACCTTCTTTTCCGGGCTGCCACGAGGTTTGTGTGGTCAAAATTTCGTGAACGAGTGATTGAGCCAATGACGTTATAGTTTGTTTGTTAGTAGTGTTCTAAACGTCATTGATATAGCATACCTGATATTCAAATATAACACGAATTTCCATGGTAAAATATAGTGATAGGTGGGGAATACAATCCAGCACCCAAAAGATAATCTTGGAAATCCGCAAAATTTAGACCATCAGTCGCACGGATTGTACAATATATTAGAATTATTAGCCTACAACATTATTTTCTAAGTCAGCAAATAAAACAATAGAATTTACTTAGAAGTAACAAATAGTATTATTAAATTTTGATCAGAAATAATGACAAAAATCTAAATTATGTTATGTGAATTAAAGTCTGAATAAAAATATTAATGAGATTTGGACACTTGCTTCTATAATTGTTTTCGAAGTATACATTAGGTGTAGCCAGCAGTTGAAAATGCGCGTTCAGATTCAACGCTAGAAGGTGGAACTGACTTAACAAAGTTGTAAGTTGCTTCCAGATACTTCCTTCTGTTTCCTCCACATTCAAAAAGAATCATTTCTCGTTTTATTATAAGATCAAGTGATACCGCCGGCTGTTGAGTAGTTGAAAATGGTGTTTGTGTCCACTTATACGTAGTAGAGCCATGCTGCAGCTATATTAGTAGTATATTTGTAGCACGAATGGATCGGCTCGACCGGGGAAGGACCACGCTCTCACAGAATACCAGCGTAAATAGCAGCTTAACACTGCTGTTTCGTATGGTGAGTGTAGAGAACCGGAGAAAAGAGGCATTTACATCTTAGTCCTCACGGGTGACAACGCATCTGCATTTTGATTTGCAAAGGAGTATAGATGTAGATGTCTATGGGCCACAGCAACCACTTACCATCAGGTAGACTGTATGCTCGTTTGTCACCCTATCCTATAAAAAATAAAAATTATGTGCTCTAATTCCTCTTCTAATGGCAGTTCGCACAAAGTTGACGTGGAACGAGGTAAAGGTATATCGTTGTCTTCATCCTCGTCATTAACATGCTGAATTTGTGATTGTGAGCGAGAACTTGAAGCATAAGCCTCATGGCTGACGTCTTCATTAGTTCAGAACTATCTATTAGAAGCCTTTCTAGTAAGCTCACAATTTCCTTTCTTAACTGCGCTTTACTTGGTCAAGTGAACGTGTCTTCATCTCTAGCCGACAAAGAATTACTTTCCAGATACTTTATCGGGCTTTCCAAATAAAGCAGCACTCCAATTAATGTTGTGCGACGTTCTTTCATTCGTCGATGTAATGATGATGTCAATGCAATACTCAGTGAATTATTTTGTTATTGTATTTTGTCCACCATGAATCTTAATGTAGTTTCTGCTGATAGCAATGTATACTACACGACACAGAACAAAGAGTATAGTAAACAGAACATTTACCGTCAGTTTCAATGGCTCTAAAGCACGTTCAATAGCAATCAAAATGATTGATTCGTTCATTTAAAAAATAAGCAGGCACCGATTGCGAGTTTAGATCAATAAGAGCTTTAGATACACAATGCATACATGGTTAGATCTAGCTAGCATCCTTAGCGACCATTCGTGATATTTTCGCTTTCACGGAACATTTTGTTGACTTTTTTCACACGTGGTAGAGCCATGCTGCAGCAATATTAGTAGTATAGTTGTAGCACGAATGGGTCGACTCGACCGGGGAAGGACCACGCTCTCACAGAATACCAGCGTAAAATAGCAGCTTAACACTGCTGTTTCGTATGGTCAGTGTAGAAAACCGGATACCTTTTTTACTGGAAAAGAGGCATTTCATCTTAGTCCTCACGCGTGACTTTGCATCTGCATTTTGATTCTTTATTGAGGATAGATGTAGATGTCTATGGGTCACAGCAACCACTTACCATCAGGTGGACTGTGCTCGTTTGTCACCCTATCCTATAAAAAAAAATTGTTGCTGACTTTTACCTTTTTAGCCGGCGTTGAAGTATTTTGTTGTCAATGCTGACGAAAAGAGCTTGTACTGGCGGTTTCTGTATCACTAATGCTACATACGGATTCCTCCGCCATCTTATGCCTCGTACGCAAGTGTACTTGCTAGACTTAAGTAGATCGAGCGCTTATTTTGATGATAGAAGGACCACGTTTACACTGAGCGGAAATGCCATCTTCCGATCTTAGAAAGTACTGCCATACAAATTTATTACTGTCGTATTCCTTATAAATCACTTTAGCACTCATTTTTAAGTTCCCGATAACAACTTTATCATGTAGTGCCGTACATGATATTATGCGAATTGAGGCTGGAAAAAATAATATCTAGCAAATCTTACGGAGCCCGCATTTGTAGGAATGCGGACCCGCTGGATTGCATTCCCTAGTGATAGGTATTGCAGACAAAATAAAAACAATATTTAAATAAGTATGGAATCTCAGAGCCTTGCCCAGTTCAACAAATCGACAAATTTCATAAGTAAACAACTAAAATTATACTACTTACAGCTTAATTCTTTCTTTTACAGATGGTAACGCTGTACCAGCATGGGCGATAAGTTTAATGGCTGGTATAGGAATGTTGCTAATAGGCGGAGTTTTGTACATTGTAATGAGGAAAATTGTTCTGTCGTCAGAGACTAGATCCCTTAACACATATCAGCCAGCCATGCAGAATGAAGATGTTTAAAATTGCAACTATCGTTAAAAATAAGCTTTATTTATTTAAAAATGTATTAATTGTTATAATTAATTTTTTAAATAGGTTTACTGTTAATTTACCACTAGATATAATTTGAGCGTAATCACTATTGTATCCTAGTTATGCGTCGTGAGTAAACTGATAATCGTCCCATTCGATTTGGTGCGTGTTTAGGTCAGCAGACTTAAATCTAGTTGGAACTCATATTTGTAATCTTTATCTTTAAATACACAATATTTGTGTCGAGACTGGAAGGTAATATTGCAATTTACCTCGTCTTTTTTCTTTTACTCGTCCATTTTATTTTGTTGGCGTTGTTGGGCGTCCTCTCCGCTGCGTTAGGAGAGATCCCGCGCGGGGTTCCAGTCGCGGGTACACATAGCTGACTCCGTAGCAGGCAATCTTCGCATCCGCATCGGGGTCCAAGGTTAAAGCAACGCCGCTAGTGCTACATGACCGTGTAAATACTGTCACAGTTTTTGTACTGAATTGCCGGTCTAATACAAGTTGCGCTGTAAGTTTAGCGCTGAACGAAACGTGGAGGGTACGCGCACAAATTGAATTGCACGAATGCGGCTGGAGAGCCAATCAATGCGTGAGAACGATACGCACGAGCCAATCAGCGCAACTTATGCGCAATAACGGTCACCGCTAGACATTCGTGTCGCTACTTATAGTATACGTAGAAGTCTTTGCAACAGACGTCTTATTACTTTTAAACCAAAATACTTTTAAGATTTTATATTTGAAAAAACGAATAAATAAATTGAGACCACATATAAGTATCTTTACTTTATTTCCACTTTCAATACATTAGATATTTAAAATTAAATCACTATGATGAAAATGTCAGTTTTACGGATTTTATTTATGAAAAGAAATGTGTGGGTTGAGTGATGCAATTTAGAATTCTCTGCGATGATACTTGTCGGGATCGTAGTACGATGTGACCACTACACGATTACTGAATTTACGACCCGTAAGTGTTTGCTGAGCTTTTTGACAATCCGCAATACTGTTGAACTCGACGAATACCTGCAAGGCAAATAATATGGTTATTCATAAACTGTTGTTTTTGAGTGGTGCTGCAATAGATTGCAGAGAAAAATTGCTATGGGCTTTTGCTATGCCAGCGACCATCATCTTTATCATCGTCATCTTTTTTAAATAGGTAATTATTAATTTTAAGATAAATAATACTTTAGTTATCAAAGTTATAATTCTAATTTACCAGTGTCAAAAATCGGTTGATAAGTGCAGGCAATCCTATGATGATGACCACGGTTATTCTTTCGAGATATTAGTCAGGCAAAGCAAAGTTCTACAGTCAAGAACTTTAGTAGTCCTTATTACATCTCCTTTCACTTTCATAAGAAAAAAATTGTACAAATAAGGAGCCGCCCATAAAATGCGCTACGTAAAACACACGGCTTTTTGACTTTCCTTGTCTCACTTCATCACATTTCTTGAAAAAATCATAAGCAAGCATTGTTGCATTTAATAGTAAATTGAACTAGCTGTTATCTGTCATTAACAATAGGAAGTATTTTTTTTTAAATATTCATCACATCACATGATTTTCTGCTGTATCATAGAGGCATTTTACAAACAAAAATTGCACAAGGACAAACATCCAGGACCCAGAACAATTATTTGCGGGTTTCGAAGCCGCGGTTCTAGAGCGGCCAAATCAAAAATTGAGCCACTGCGCTTACTGAGCTGTATTTACTTATAGAAATTTGATAAAAATAATTTGAAAAAAATCCACTTTAAAAACTGTCGAAAAAAACTGCCACTGTGATCAGTGTCAGTTTATATATATTATATTTATATATTGTTCAATGCTAACAATCAATTCTGTCAATTTTATTATGTTTTAACGTGTATTTATGTTACATTTTATGTAACAAGATGAACAAAATAAATAATTAAAATTTCTTTTTTCTCTGTAATTAAAACAGAGAAAAATGTGTTCAAAAAAGTTCCACTTTATGACAATATTTTATGAATGACTCCTAAGATAAGCTAATAGGAAAAAAATTGTAAGTTGAAGCAGTTTTATACCTTTCCACAGCCTGGTACGTCTACGCCTTCCAGAGGTCGCGGTATTTCAATGCTACGAACACATCCATACTTATTGCACTCCTCCCTAAAACAAAGTAACATTGATTTTAGGCATAAAGAAAAATAAAATTAGTCAAGAGCATGGTAAGAACAGTATTCTGTTTATTATATGTATCTGTAAATAACAATCTCACAGGGATGACAAAAAGACATAGAGGTGATTGTATAACTTTTCTAGTTTGCTGAATTTGGCATGAACTTCTAGAAATGACATTTTTGTAATTACCATAACTAATTACTCTAATTCAAACAGTATTCATCAAAAACATCTCTACGATGCATGCTCCACCAAACACTCTCCGTTTGGGCTTTAGGCTAACAGTCTATCTACTCAGGTACTAAAGTACGGTAGAATATTAGTTGAGTCTTGTACGCTTTAGTACTACCTACTAAAGTTTACAAGACTCCACTAATATCCTCAAGGTTTGAGAGCATAGCATAAGTCCGCTGCACTGCCCCAATGTGTACTGATGTATTTCACAGGTCCAAGAAATATTTTAGTCAAGAAATATTTAATTCACAGAATGTAGATTTAGTAATTACGTAATGGTATTTCCTTATTTGCATGTACCGCCTAGCAATCAACGCTTAAATTTGCGATTAACAGTTATGAGAAGTAGTAGCAGGGATTGCAATTGTGTTGCTTGCGTGCTATTAAATATAAGACAAGCACATCCAGCTCCTGTGATGCCATTAAGTTCTTAGTTGATGAATAGTGATACGGCTTAATATTGTGACACAAACAACTCTGTGGTAAGCCTACAAAATGCTTCGACAGCTCTAAGGATACTTGTCCTGGTCTTGACCCCGGGTTTTAGTGATTAATTAACAATAACGAGATTATTGTTAAAAAAGAGAAAAAGATCAGTTTTAAATGTTAAAAATCTACCATTGATGCAAATGTTCAATCTGTTAGTAATGTTATGTTCATATATTTATTAATGTTAATTATACATGAACTTTATGACAAAATACTAACTTAATATCTTCAAGGATATCTTCATATTCTTCTTCATCACGGAGTTCGTCTGGTGTGACCATATTGAGGAGGCACAGTACTTCTGTGGCTGGACCGGCTCCAGCCAACGTCAGACCTGCTACTTGCAGAGTCACTGGTGCAGCTCCAGTCATCGCTGAAGGAGAGACAACATATATTATTCTTCTCAATAAAATTGACCTCCTTAGAGTGAGTGTTCAAGTTTTCAAAAAACATTAATCAAAAAATTAAGCCCCCCACCCAAAATGATATTAAAATCAAAAAATGAAAAACAATAGTAAAGCTTCTTTCCACTATCTTGAGATATTTACATCATAATGACATTTTATCAGAAAAAATTATTAATAAAAATATTTAGTAGTTACAATACATACCTAAAGTTGAGTTCTTGGCTCCAATGCTAGCTCGTTGGACAATCAACTTCTTGTCACCCAATTGCATACCATTTAATCCTGCAATTGCCTATTAAAATAATTGGGTTTTAAAAAAAATTTAGTGGTTTTATTTAAACAATTAAAAAATGATGCAGGCAATAATATTTACCTGATCTGTCATAGAAATATCCACATATTCAGCAAATGCATACCCCTTACTAAGACCAGTAGAGGAGTCTTTCACCAAATTGAAAGCTCGAAGCTGTCCAAATGACATCAGAAGCTCTTTTACCTGTTTCACACAAATATAGGTTAGTCTAATATGGTATATTATAATAGAGTGCATACATAATACAATTGTTTATTATACACATATATATATATTTATTAATTATTACACAACTATTACATTTTCAGATAATTTATTGTTCCCGTTAACATTTGCTTAGCAAATTGCAGCATACATATAAATTAATGCAATCTGACCTGTGTCTAGCCGCATATTAAAATCAGATGTGAACGGAAGAGACTTGCCTTGAAGTGCCGATGTCTCATTCAAGTACAAGACGTATAGATGAGAATGAGAGACAACAGTGACACGCGGGCCGCGAATGTGCCAAATCTATGCTAGGGAGGGGCAGAAAGCAAACTATCAGTGACTTGTTTCAAAATATTTTGAGCGTGAAACGCACACGCTCATCCGTTATGAGTACCTGAAAATACCTGAAAGGGACCAAAATATAACGCGATTCACTGCTTGCTGCACCATAGCCCTGTCAACTGTTGAATCTCGTCCTGAAAATGGCAGCGGCCTCTAGATCTTTTTAATGGGAACTATCTAAACCTTCTAAAATATGTCATTTGTTTGATGTTATATTCATAGCCTATATTCAATAAATCTAGGAAATACTGCAAGTAATAAATGTTTCACTTTCATTGCAATTAACACTCCATTACATGTGTGGGGCACAGGCGTGCCCCAGGCATATATTATTGCATATTATTACTTAAAAAATGTAATGAGAATATTGCCTTTCCAATAGGTGTTTTAGTGTCCTTGTGCATGTTCAGTAGGCGTGTCAACTCTGTCCTTGCATTAGCATCTCTGAATATATACGACATGTGTAATGTAACTATTCCACTTATTACTACAATATTGTAAAAAAATATTGTATGTCAATGCAACTTGTATAACATTACTAATGTCTATAGTTTTGTAATATTTCTATTTATCTTAATGTAGGTGTACCTATAAATATAATGGACACATCAGTGATGGGTTTTTGATGGACATCTCTTGTTTCTAGATAATAAATGTCAATAAAAACTGATTTCATATAAATGTTCATGTCTTAATTCTACCCGACAGCAAAAAGAAACTTATTTATTTTGAGCATGGTAGTGCCCTGCAAATATTATTATGTATTTCCCGCTCCATTTGTAACAGAGTGTTTAAATCTTTCAATGTAATTGCAATATTTTCTAGATAAGTAACAATATTAAATTATGTAAAAGCTTCATCACAGATGGCTGAACAAAAGATGGAACATCATCTGAAAAACATAATTTTTGTATTTTTATGTTGAATTTTTAAAATCATTAGTTTTGACATCCTAGACTTGTCATAAATGCAATATTATTCATAAAATGTAAGTATTGAACATTACAAAACAATATGCTATAAATATTATGTTCAATAATTATCATCATAACAGGCTTTCACAAGTACATTGCTAAGGTTAGGTCGTCCTGAAGGAATGCCAATATTACTATTTCATAAATGTAATATAATTTGAAAGATAATACTAAAATGTATAAAATTTTGATTCATGTTTATTTTAATATATTAAATCTAGAAATATTAGACATTTGTAATATTATTAAAAAAAATAATACACTTACTTGATCTTCATTAAGATAGTTGGGTAAACCACCAATAAATATTTTATGGGGTGAATCTGGTACAACTGTACTAATAACACCAGCTGCAATATAAATTATGAAACATTAGACATAGTGCGATTCTGCTCTCAATCTTACCTTATATCAAATTGTATCTATGTATTGAATATCATATACTGAATCTATATATTTCAATATCTATGTATCAGATAATATCTACATAATTTTGTAACTGTAAGGAAATTTGTACTTTATTTTTTGTTTCCTCCACACTAGGATTTTCTCCTGTATCGTGAGGGCAGTTTACATACATCACTCCTACATAGTGATATGCAATTTTGACAGATTTGGTCTGCTTAAATTTACAGTTAAATTGTAAATTATAATATCTAAGTATATTTATACATATTGGTTAATATCTATGATACCCTAAAATGAGTATATTCTACAACAAAGAATCATAGTGGATAAATCTATATTACTCAATTACAATATCTAGCATTCTTTTGTGAGCTCATGGTTCGTCCGAAGTTTGAATCAGTGTCAATTATAGATACTTTAAATTATTATTATGTTGTCAGATGATCTTAAAGATTACATAAATAATGAACACTATGTTAGGCATGTGTCAGATATATCAAAACGAATGTAAAATCCGATTTCAAACATAAATCGAAACATATCGATTTCTCAAACTAGAAAATCCAATTTCAAAAATTGACATATAGATCTTACAATCTGTACCACAAAACGAATACAAATCGACAATACCCAAATCCAAACGCAAACTGATGCATAGAAATCCGCTTTCTCAGTTTCTCTCTTTCTAACCAAACATGACATATTTAGGATTTAGATTTTGGTATGTCGGCTATGAAAATCTATTGCACATTGAAATATGCACTCAATATTATCTTTATTTCTAAGTACTTCAAGTCTATATTTGCTTTGTGAGATTATGTGTTGATGAATTTTGGTTCCATGCTTACGTTTGCTTACCAGAATCTCTGAAATATGCAATCAATATCATTCTTATTATTAAGTTGTTAAAGACTATATTTGCGAGATTGTTGGACGATTTATTTTGGTTTTTAGATTAGTGTTTGTTTACTATAAATAATCTTCTGTTTTCATGTTGCTTTTGTTAAGATGCAAATTTGACCTTGGTGACAAGTGTGTGCATGCTGGTCAGTCATATCAATGAATTACAGGATATGTTGTAATTACAAGTATGTTTATTGCCTGTTTGTTTAGCAGTTTAAAGTAAAAAAAATAAGTTAACTAAGTGAATTGTGTGTGACTATAAACATATATAAGTAATTTTATATAACATTTAATTATTTTTTATTATTTTGACTACCAAGTCTTTTCTGCCGACTTCCAAAAAGGAGATGGTAGTCAATTCGACGCATGTTTTTTTTTATATGTGTTACCTCATAACTTTTTACTGGGTGGACCGATTTCGATGATTCTTTTTTTATATAAAAGCTGATACTTCTCGTGTGGTCCCATATGGATCAAGGTCAGACCAATAGTTTTTGAGTTATTGGAGTTATTCTTAATAACTTATATTGAAGTCGGCTGTACAAAATTTTAAATTATTGTTTAGCCTTTTTAATTGATTAGACGAGAACTGTTTTGATTTTAAAGATATCCAGTGAGGTATGGACTCATTTAAACAAAGAACTTCTAGAGTTGCAGTGTATAAATAATGTAGTCAAAATATATCATATAAATCTATAATGGGTAATCTAGAAGCTTATTTAAAACAATCTCACGCTTTAATTTATTTGCTGCAAAAGACAAGTACAGATTTAGGAAATAAAAAATATATTAAGAAAACATTGTAAATATTATGCAGATTTTAAAATGTGCCAGATAAGTTTTGATTTCATACAAAACTTTTCTGCTAGTCCTAAGCCTAGATTAAAGCATAAAGGATAATCGCGCAAATCAGTTTCTATATTGCATTTGCATTTGTCGCTTCGTTAACTTCTAAAACGAAATCTAAATACGCAAACAAATTAGCTTGACTAAGCACTACTGAAATCGGATTTTGATATCTAAAATTGGATAAATATCCATTTGCATTCAAATCCAAAAATGCCCATGACTACACTATATATTATGATGTTGTGTCAAGTGATGCTATACTACAGCGGTATCTAATATATAGTTAGTCCTTCGCCTGATATAATAAATATATACGATTTTAAACACCCACTCCAAAAATAATTTGTTTGATAAATAATTTTGTGTAAATAAGGTAATCAGAATCATATTTAAACATACCTGGCACGTTTATAGCTGGGTTTTCTGTACCAGGCATAGGTTGATAGTCGTGGGGTCGTCGAATTTTCAAACTTTGACCCTTGAAATTAATCCCATCAAAAGCCATAGCTTGGGTAGTCTCATCAATAGATCTGAATTCAAGGAATGCAAAATTTTTGTCCAAATTAATTTGACAAGCTAAAACAGGATTGCCAGCTGCTTGAGCTAATCCTGAAAGGTGCATCTGTTGGTTGAAAAACTCCATTGTTTCCTCCTCTGTAACTCCAAATGGTATATTGCCGACATATAGTCTTCGGGCCTGTCGCGTTATAGTTGATCCAACAACAGGGACTGCTGCTTGAGGAGTATCTGCAACGATGTTTGCTGGTATTTGTCCGGCAGCCTGCATGGCTTTATACTGCAGAGGCGTAATGTGTTCAAAACCTGGTGGTGGTACATCCCAGTACAATGAGGGCTTACGGCGACGGGATCTTTTAGACGGAGATCTGGACTTACTTCTTCTTTTTTCTCTTCGATCCCTTGAACGGGATCTTGTTCTTCGTCTCTCTCTTGAACGAGACCTGCGTCGTCTATCTATAACGTGAAAATAATTTACACACTAAAATTTAGTTACTAATATTTAAAAAACAAGAAATACAGTTAAATACCTTTATCTTCACCCATGACTTAAGAAACTGAAAGCATTAACAGTATCAGTAAATATGATAGACGATTCGTCGCTTCGCCAAAGTCGGAACACAACATAGAATTCACAAAATGGCGTCACCAAAGAGAATCACAGATAATTTTTTTTTATGGCAACCTTATAATTACTACCAACCTCCAGTCGAGGAGTTTTGGCGGGAACTTGACCGGCGGCGGTTTGCTGCTCCTGTATTACAGTTTAAATAATAGTTTGAAGTGGATTTTGACATGTAAAAATGGTGCGATTTTATGTACTAACTGTCTACGCATGTGAACTATTAGTGGAAACGGTAGAACAAGTGCTCTGATGGTGATGGATTCTCAAGATAAGCTGTTTGTCTGCATAGGCGCCTTGAGATACCATCGCCAACCGTCAGCTGTCTGCTGGCTCAAGTTGCCGTCAAAATCTCCCAAGGGCTGCACAATGTGACGCATCAACATATTGTGAAGCAGTGAACTATGAAGGATAATTATACATTTGGGGAAATTATAATAAACCCAATAAAAATACTCAGGACTTGGCCTAAAGGTCTAGAAACCCGGCCTTAAAATACAAAAACAAACAACCAATAAATAATACTTGTAAGCACATGCTTGGTAAGAAACGTAGATAGAGCATTGACAAGATACAAAAAAAGAAGATATAAAGTCTATGGTAAGAAACGATGAACAATAAAAATGAAAACTATGATTCTGATCTCTCGGTATAGTGCCACCAACTCACAAACTAGTAAGAAGTGCTAGTGCACCAACTTATCTGTGAACTGACAGCTTGGCGCTTCTGCGCTGAAGTGTTGCCAGTTCGGGAATATTCCCATCCAAAGGGTCTTATATTCCTACATAGAGTTCACATACTAGGGTAATAAATTAGTCACGGACTAAAAAGACTAGAACACAGATTTAACAGATATGTGTCCAAGAACAAGAAGAAACAAAAATATCATAATTGAACAATTTAAACTTTAGTTAAATAATATGCCTTTATGCCTTTTTACCGGGCGTTGTAATTTGCTTTCCTGTGGTTTATGCGGTTTCCGGTTCTATAACTATTTTGCAAATGAATCCTTGACTAACATCTGAAAAAGAAATGAATTGCATTAACCAATCCATTTATCGGAAATACGAAAGGAAGGAACAAAACATAGCAATACTGACCAGTATTGCTATGTTTTGTTCCTTCTTGTAGCAGCTGATACTCTTTTATAGACCTGATTGAAAGACATTATCGGTGCTTACCCTCGAGCTTCTTGCTCACAAAAGTTTAATACTTATAAAATAATGTTTCGGGCATTACTTTTAATGGTTTTCGGCATTTTTTATTTTTCTATAAACTCTCAAAACAATGACGTATTGAGTGACATTTGATTAAATGGCGGCTGTAGTTTACAATTTTGCCGCAGCTGTCAGTTCACAGATAAGTTGGTGGGACTATTACATATTTATTTATCTATGGTAGAGAGTAATTGTGTTCTGTGATTCTGATTAAAAAACGAATAAAATTAAGAACTAATAAAGTATGAAATGACTTGTACTGAAGTTTATTAAATAAATGAGGAATATTATATAGAATTAAAATAAAATCTAAGCCACACTCACATATAGAAGAATTTTTAATATGAAGCCTAGCAAGGTAAACCGAATTACAACAGTGACCAAGCGCATTCTACGTAACATTGAGTATGTTTCTTATTTAAGGTTAATTTGTAAAACCAAGGCTTAGAAGGAATGATGAGTTGAATTTTGGCATAGTGACAGCCCTTTGTCGTTTTGGTTTTGTTCCAATGTTTTGACCACCTATCTCTGTACAATAATTTCGTAGTCCTTATAAGGTCATAGCAATAGTTTTTAAATAGGAAATTATCCCCACAGACTATAGTATAGTACTATATATTCATTACCAGATATACCAATATGACTAGGAAACCAAACAAGAGAAATGTTGATGTTTTGAAATTGATATAAGAATAGAAGTTTCTTAATTTCAAATATCAAAGAATTTCGGGTAATGTCATATAAAGGATTGCATAAAAATGCAAGTGAAGAACTAAGAGAATCTGAAAATATCACGCTTGATTTTAATTTAAAACTATAGCAATATTTTATTGCTTATAAAATAGCTAAAATTTCTCCTGTAAAAACTGAAGATTCGTGAGGACTTTTCATTTTTTGAACTATTCTCCAATTTTGATGGTATAGTGCGTAGCCAGTACAACCTTTTGAGTTAATTTTAGAAGCATCTGTAAAAATATAATGATAACCTGGGAAATTCTTGTGCAACGCAAATACAAATTTTTTATTTGATTCAATAGAAAATTTATTTAATCCTAATATTAATCCTATATATTAACATTGGGTTTGAATAGCGCAACAAGAAATGAATTGGTGAAAAGATGCAGAGTCACCGACCTATAAATAGGATCTACTAAGGAATTATAATGTTCATAGATTTTTACGAGGTTAGGTGTTTCTTTATTACGCCAGTATTTTCCTAAATTAATTAAAATGTAATCATAAAGTAAACAAATTTTAGGAATTGGTGGATGATTGGAAAATTGACAAACCCGAAATAAAAAGCAATAAAACGCATCTTTTTATTAGACAAAAAAGCTAAATATTGTTGTCTAATAAAAAGTGGATGATCACTGCATTCAATCTGCAAGGCATTGATAGGCGATGAATTCATAGCGCCTATATTTAATCTTAAAGACTTATGTTGAACGATATCTAAAATTTTCAATCCTTTTTTTATTAGCAGGTTCAAGAAGAAATGACGCATAATCTAATCAACTTCTTATAATTGCATTATAAATTAATTTTAAAGAATATTGATGGGCTGGGGATACCATACCCCGCACAAAGCTCTTAGAATGTTTATATTTTTTTTTTCGCATTTTTTGGGTATAAATGTCGGATAATTTAGGTACTATCGAGAATTACACCAAGGAATTTAACTTGCGGAATATTTTCGAGCAGATAATAAATTCTTGTTTGTATTTTTTGTTTGCAGCAATGTCTAATGAGTGAGTTGTCGATATTGAGGAAAGAGGTTAATAAACAACAATAATAATTTTTGAATAATGGAATTGGGGTGTGAAAATAAAATCATGCCCATTTTTTTTATTACTCAATATTGCGTTAACTGGGCACAACCAGTAATCACAAATTTTATTTGCGTTATATTATAAATGGAATGACTATGGTAACAACATGCCCTGATTTCAAAATCTTTCGGAAGGAGGCCACCCGCCTTGTGAGATGAATACGCCGACGAGCGATCCTCACCTCAAATGAGGGTTACCTCGTGAGTACCTCGCGAGGTAAAATAAGACACTGCCTCATCCTCAAACAAAATAGATGAGTAACCCATGACTACTTACAAGTGCTAATTTGATATACGCATCCTTTGTTTAGAAATTGAAACAAAACACATAACGCTGTCTATTGGATTCTCTGTCTACGGCAAGGAGGTTGTAAAATATAGGGAGTGCGCACTTTTTACTAGAGAAACGTTCCTAAATCAGTGACCTTGAAATGAATGAAAGGCACCGAGTTAGGCCTTGCATTTCTTTCTAATAGAGTGTCCATGATACAATATTTTGAGAATATTATTAGTGTAGTTCAGTTTTTTATGCTATCTTTCCTTTTGGTGTAAAATCCTAATAGAAGTTAGTCAGACACAAAAGCAAATACTAAATAATATAATAATAATCTAGATTATCACTGGCAAAGTATGAGATAAAAATCAAAGCCCAAAAATTTTAAGTTTTTTTTTACTATTAAGTTTCATGTGAAGGAAGCTTATAAAAACTCAAGTTAATAAAATCTAACTTAAGGTCCACAATGAGCCAAGCGGGACTAACCAATCTTTCCATTTTATCTATCGAAAATGATAAGAAAGTAAACTTTAATAATATATTAGAATATTTTAGCAAAATAAAGTCCCGTTAGCATGTATAGCATTTTTTGTTTTATTTTGGGGGGTGCTTGATAGAAAACCGCCCTGGGTGTCTACCCACGCTACGCCACCACTAGTTATCGTAAGGTTTGATTCTGTAGCGAAGCAATAATGTAATCAAAATATTAAACGGAGTTTAATTACCTAGTCAGGTAATAAATTCTGTCACATGTTTAATATAAAATAATTGAAACAAGTTTATTCATTATGTAACCATTTATATACCAAAATGAACTTAACAAAACATAGATTTTTATAACATTAAAGTTTATTCAAAATGACCTCCGTGATTTTGAATACAGGCCTTCAATCTGCGCGGCCAGTCGTCTATCGCAGCACGAACGAGGTCCATGTCAATATCGGCGGCTGCCTTAATCAAGGATGTCTTGAGTGACTCCAAATTGGGATGAGGCTTTGAGCACGCCTTTTCCTCCAAGTGTTGCCATATCTTGTAATCTAACGGATTCAAATCTGGTCTGGAGGAGGGCCAGTCTTCGTGCCGGATAAAGTCGATTTCACGCGCCGCCAGCCAGTCTTGTGTGCTCTTCGATCTATGAGCTGGCGCCGAATCTTGTTGGAATACCCAGTGCCTGTTATTGAACATGGTATGAGAAACAGGTTCCACAAGGTTCGTCAGGACTGTATTTTGATACACAACTGCATTCGTTTTTACACCTTTCTCACAAAAATGTACCTCTGTTAAGCCCCAATAAGAAACTCCCAACCATACCATGAGCGAGGATGGAAAATGACCTCGTTGGACACGCGGAATACGGTTGCTCGCTTCTTCACTACTGTGTGCGTACACCTTATCATTTTGTTTCTTGTAGCTCTCTTCTACGGTAAAAATTTTTTCACGAAAAAAGAATTTCCCGATATTTTTTTCCCGCGTACCGCTTTAACAAAGCGCGGCATCTCTTCAGTCTCAGGTCCATTAGACGAGCATTCAAACGATGTCCTGTTTTTCTTCGATATGCCCGAAGCCCTAAGTCTTGATTTAACACCCTTTTCACCGTGGTTCTGCTTAACCCCATCTGAAGGGCCAACAGTTTCTGCTTACGTTTGGGATTTCTTTGAATTCGCGCCTTCACAGCTTTTATCACTGCTGGAGTCCTAACAGACCGAGGGCGACCACTTCTTGACCTGTCATCTACACTAGAGTCTTCATTGTATCATTTGATGGTACGATAAACGAATCTTTTGGTTATATTCAAATTTTTCTGTATGTCAAAAATTTGAATTGGCGCGTAACCGCTACGATGCAACGCAACAACTGCAACATGGTATTCTTTAAGCGTCCACTCCATATTTAAAAATGAGTAAAATTCTAAAAAGTATACAGTTTTATTTTCATGAATAATTCGAAATTCGAATTCAATAAACTTTTTTGTGGCCAGCATTGTAAAAGAAAAGTTTTTACTGTGTGACAATACTTATGACCTGACTAGGTATAATACCATTCAGCACTTTCCATATTGAAAAAAATACTCATTTCGTTTTCCGTGATGCTGTATACACTAATAATATTCTCAAAATATTGTATCATGGGCACTCTATTAGAAAAAAATGCAACGCCTAACACGGTGCCTTTCATTTATTTCAAGGTCACTGATTTAGGAACGTTTCTCTAGTATGAAGTGCGCAGTCCCTATATTTTACAACCTCCTTGCTTATGAGCTTATGACACATAGACTTAGTATTCTATCTACGTTATGACACGTCTATTTTGGGTTATTATATACCTACTGTTTAAAATATATTCAATTATTCCTCTCGTCTGTGAGGTGGCAGAATTCAGCCATGAAAAAAAAGCCGCGTCTGTGGACAGGCTGAATTCTGCCATTACTACACGGTTGTATTTGTCGGCAAAAGTCGTTTGTTTCTTCATCTTTCCCAGTGCAATAAGACCGTGAGTGCGTTTATTATGAACTTGACTCTATGATATACATTAATACTAACAATTTCTAAAGAAGAAAAAAAAGAATCTTGTCATTGAAGTTCTACTGATTTTGCGCTTTGAGCTGATATGATTGTTTTGCTGAAAAAAAAAGTATGTAGAGCCTTGGGTTTTTGTGAAAGATTTGTTAAAATATGTACTGTTAATGTAATTAAATGCTTATTATATCAAACTTTTGTTTATATTTTATTTTTTGCATAGAAATAAATATGAATTTATGTGCCCCAACTTAGATGTAGTAGGGTGGATGCCCCTATTACCAGCCTTTTAGTGCCAATTTCAACTTTAAAAATTCCTGCTATTTTAATTAGGGCACAATATTTTTAAACATTTGTTTTAATCGATAGGTTATTTATCTAAAAATATAATGAACATTTATTTACAATCAAATTTCAAGAACAATTTTAAAAACGACGATAAGCAAACAAAGGCGTTATGGTTCAAATGCCAGCCACCCTGTACCGAATGTCGTCCTTTTGTGTACTTAATGCCAGCATAGCATAGGGTTGTGCCTTTTGAGTTTTTGGTAAGTACCTATTGTAGGTAAGTTTTAGAGACACAGTAATAAATTCGTAACTACTTTTAATTTTGAAGCTGCATGTGACAAGCATGGGATATTATTAAGGCAGACACAACATTATTTCATTTTAATGTTTTACTACTTAACTTATTGTGTTTTAGTTTAAAGCAGGTCAATAAATTAAAGCAAATTATGATAAAATATTATGTAGTATATCGATTTCTATTAATCATCAAAGTTTTCAAATCATCATCGTCATTATAACTTTACACAAGTCTACTACGGAACATCCTCCTCCATAGACTGCCGCAAAGCCTGGTCCTAAACCACTTTACTTGTCATGAGTTTTTCATTTATGTTCTAAGTTGTAATTAGTATTACTAAGTTATAGTTTTTGCTTATCTATACAATTAAATAAAATTGAAGTGTCTGTTTGTAATGTCAAAATAACAGCTTTTTGAAATATATACGGTACCTATAACAAAAACACAATTTTTAAAATTTTTGTCTGTCTGTCTGTATATACTATATTTATTGCTTGTTTTTTCTTCTTTCTCAAAAAATAATTGAATACACAAGCTGTCCTTAATATACACCGGATGTCAGATAGAAAAGCTAGTACATCTTTTGCTAAACTTTAAAATCTAAAACCAATTTTGAAACAGAGGAATTGATCATAACTCCCTTAACTATAAAATAAGTATGATCTAATTAATAGTATTTATTCCAGTTTATGACAGCCCTGGTTTATATGACTTGGCTGAAATTAGGTACTTCTTATTAGGTACGTCAAACCAAATAACAGCCGGGTGGCTGACATTATGCACTCCATACCTTTCGTAGTTCAAATTACAGCCCCATTAATTTCCACTAAAAGAAAATAAATAACTAGTAGATTTAAACAAGTATAATTGCATTACAATGTCTATAGTCATATTCATACAAATTAAATTACAAATTATATATGAGATAATGTAAAGTAAGCATAATTTTACCGGGATCATAACTTGTCAAAAAATTAGGAAAATGAGCGTTTTTCGTTACGTACGTGTTTTGATTTTTAATTTAACAATGTTAGGTTTTAAACTGTGAGGTAATATTTGAAATATACTTTCCTCTAGTTACGAAGAATTTTTTAGGTGACAATATTTGTAGTTAAAACTAATAGAAATCTTATTTACGAAGTAAAAAGGCGAAAATGCTGAAATTAGAGGCATGGCTGATATTAGGGGCATGGCTGGTATTAGGGGCATCCACCCTATAACAGATTTATTATAATATTGCAGTTGATATGATTTCAAGAAATAGGAACAGAAACTAATTCCGAGTAATGAATAAAGAAAATAAAACCTAAATTTAAAATAGAACTGGAGAAATTACGATTTTTTATAAACTTAGGGCCAAAAATAACCCGAGTCTGTGACGTGGCTGAACCACACAGACATGACAATTTTCATTTTGAGTTTCTCACAGCTGAGTGGTTTTATTAATTTTGATATTTTGCGAAGAAAAAAGTCACGTTGTTGATAATTTGCGTGAATTTGTTAAATACATTTTAATACAAAATATTTTACATGTACGCTAGGGATTGACTCAACTATATCAAATTTAATGTCGATATTTATCTTGAATGTTTTTAAAGAATCGAGACACTTGCACACACAACAAAAAGAAGAATGAAAATAAATGTTCGATTTGCGTTCTAAAATCTTAATTTTATTTTGTCGTTTTTGAAACAGATTCCCTCTGAATTCTATAATTAAAAAAATGGTTATCTTTAATTTAACGGGTTGGTTGGAATCCAAAGAAGAACTCTATAATTTGCAGTAAACCTTTTATTCACAAGTAAAAGAAAATCCAGAATGAAAACAATTTTATTAAAAGGAGCCTTTCTTTTATTATATGTTCAAGTGTGTATAATATTGTTATAGTAAGACTTCAAAAACTTTAGATAAAAATAGAGATAGATTTTTATACTTTATGAAACTATAGTACATTAAAGATAAAAAAATCTTAAGATTATCCTATTTAATAACAACTCTCGATGCCCTATTCATGCTTGATGTCCGACGACAGTGTGCCGAGGGCTTAATAGCGTGTATTCCTCGTCCGAAATACATAATTGTGATCGGTTCTGGTTTTTCCAAGATTTATTCTATTAGGAAATATGTTTCTAAAATAATTAATTATCATAATTCTAGAGATATGTTTAATTATGGAAACATATTTTTTAATAGAATAAATCTTGGAAAAACCAGATCGATGAAAAAAATTTAATTCCTGTGATTCGAATTTTCCCGTTCAATTTTTTTTAACTGCACCAACGTTAGATGGCGCTCTATTTGTTCCTATCCATTTTATCTGGAATTACATTCTTCTCCGCTAGGAGTAAAAGTATTCTGTGTGGGATGTTCCGATACCAACAAAGTATCGATACCTACTCATATCAGTAGTACTCAAATTATTTTTCGATACTACTCATACAAATACTCCTAATGTATCGATATTTACTGATATCGATACTTTTTTAATGAAATTAATGTAGCAAATATTTCAAGCCCCACAACGATCTATTATGCCCTGCCAATTTAGATAACATCGTATAGTTCCAACCAATAAACTAACGAACTATATGAGCCTAACCTAAGTACCTAACCTAACGAAATTAATTAGCGGAAAGTTGAAGATCCTACCTTTCGTTTGTCCCTTTATCTGATTTTTTCTCTAAGTTGCCTTTATCCACAGTAATTCCATGAGTTTTGGAATGCTTGAATAAATTAGACTTTTCCACAATATTTCACCGACTTTAAACATTGTTTACATTTTGCAGTTGTTTCGTTTGTTTTGGTAAAATAGGTCCATATTAATGATTTTGGTGATCTCATGATAACATTGGAACAATAATCTTACTTAACTATTAACTTAAAATTGGAACTACAATAACTTAAATTACTCGTAACGTAATCGTAAACAATACTTGTGGAATGCTGAACACTGCTTGTGCTGACTGGACCAGTGACAATTTTAGTGTAAAGGCGGCTCTCTCTCTCGGTCTCGGCTCAGGTGAAGTCGGACGGTTTCGGCTCGCCTGATTCGATACCAAGTACTTTTGTTTCGATACCAAGTAAATATCGCAAGATTGATTCGATGCTATTAGTACTTGGTATCGAATTAAAGTATCGAGTACCTACTCGTATTTACTAGTATCGGAATGTCCCTATTCTGTGTTAGTTTGTGTTTGTGGCTTGTAGGACAGTTACTATACTCTTTGGTGGGTACTTCAACGCGTAGTGTTTCTAATTTCTATATAGTTTGTAGGTACTTCGGAGCTTGGTGCCACTAAAGCTAATGTGAAAGTAAATTTCCGTACCACGTCAAGTAACCGTGTTATTAATTAAATTTAATCAGTGGCATGGCATCAGACCTTCCACGGCTTGTAATCAACATATTTTTTGTATTTTTCTCTGTAAATAATGGTGCGTTGCGTGAAAAATTCATGATAACTTTTGCTTATTTATTTATTTCGTTTGGTTATTCAAAAGTTTTAATTTTATGAATAAATGTTTACTAAAATATGTTTTTATTTTAATTACTTACAAATGTTGTATAATTTCATTGTTATTATTTGATTTTACTCATTTTCTGTATGATTTATAAAAGTTTGCTGAGCTGAAATTTATATGATGAAAACCTTTTCTTCAGGATCACATAATAAATGATGAAGGCGTGATAAATAGAAGAAATAATAACATAAACAAATCTGATGTGATCAAAGAGGAAGGAAAATACTATAATGAAAAAACTGAACCAAAAAAGGCGAAAGTTATAGCATTAATTTTTGTGTCATTGCTATTAGATCTTTTAGCATTTACCATGATTTTGCCACTTTTACCTTCATTACTTGATTACTATAATAAAGAAGAAGGTCAAGGAAATTCTCTTTATGCAACGTTGGTGTATGCTGTGCAAGGTTTTCAGAAATTAACTGGTGCACCAGATCGCTTTTCATCAGTGCTCTTTGGAGGAGCCTTGGGCTCTATGTATAGTTTTTTGCAATTCTTAACAAGTCCTATTGTTGGCAGTCTATCAGATGCATATGGAAGGAAACCGCTGCTTTTAGTTTGCTTGGTATGTACAATTCCTTTTTGTATTTACCTTTTTACATTTTGAATGGCATACAAATATGTGCCTTCTTAATTTAAGGAATGTTAGTAATTAAAACAAGGCTTGGTGCATATGAGCCACTGGCTACAGCCCCTGGTTGCTAGCAACAAGGTATTCACATGTTATGTCATGTCTTGTATGAGTTAGATGCACAGGCCCACTTGACCCCAGTCAGTTGCGGCCACTCACCTCAGCAATGTTTGCAACATATCACTTGTGCTGCCACACAAATGTTGACACTTATCACTTACACACTCTTTATTGTAATTAAATTTGGATGTACCCAATATAGGCAACATCATTTTTGTATTAATAGCATGATTTAGCTTCCATCTGTCCATGTTATAGGTCTATTATAAAACTGCACTACAGACAGAGTGTTAACACTTAGTAACAGGCACTTGTCACTGCATCAGGTGGCGATAGCCACTGTGGCTGTGGCTGGTGGCTCTTTTGCTACAAGCCTAAAGTCTGAATTTTAATAGCTAATGCAGAGGGTCAAAAAATAAATGTCAATCTGGAAATAGGTGATAGGCCAGGCACTGGTCACCATGTGGTTATTAGAACCACAGGAGTTATTAGAAAAAATTAAAAAATTTATTGTAGTCATATTCTTTTATTAAGATAAATAAAATAATTTAAAATTAAAAATTTTGTACAGCCGACTTCAATAGATCCTTGGAACGAAAGAAAAGGGCCCTCGCTGATGCAACTTCGCCCACGTTTATATTCCTTGCTCGTTCTTCCAAGGACAGAGGTTTTTTTACGAACCAGTGGTAATGAAACAAAAGAGTAACATTCAATAAGTATTATTTATAATCTATGTTGTATAATTACGAATAATACACGAGTCATGAACTCATCCGAACGACGCACAATAATCCACGAACACTAAGTTTCGAGTTGGGGGTTGATATTATTTTTACGGAAAGGTTACATTATTATAAGCACACACGCAAAAATCAACATGCGGAAATGCGTACTTTTTGAGAAAAAAATATTGAAAATCAATTATTTTTGCAATATTTATGCCAATCCCCATTGACATCCGTCGAGTTAGAGGTTCATATTTTTTTTACAGAAATGTTACATTATTATTAGCACACACGTAAAGTTTCAACATTCGAGACACGTACCGTAAAACGGGGTGAATAGAAATCGCGGGGCGAATGGAGACACAACCAAGAAAGTTATTTTGCCTCGACTTCCAGTCTTTTGGAATAAAAATGTTACTAGATTTTTTTTTTTTAAACGACAACATTTTTTTTATAAGATGGCAATTGCAGTTCACCATGAAGTTAGGAGAAAGTTAAAAAAAATACGTTCAAATATCAACCGCCCTACGGTGACAAATTTGCCTCCCATAAAGTTGATGGTTTTATATAGGAAATACGACATATTGTGTGATATAAGTTATATAAAGTGTTCCTTAGTATATCAAGATCAAGTTATTTATACAAGTAAGTACAATTTTGATTTGAATTCATTGATATTAAAGAAAATTTTATTGTTGTTTGATTTTACTTAGGTTTGAGGTTAATAAAAACGGGAAAGGGGCGAATAGATACGTAGTATGGGTTCAATAGATACGACGAATGGGGTAAATAGACACGGGAATGGGTTTAATGAAAACAAGAAAGGGGTGATTAGAAAAAGTCTTACTAGGGTTGTCACATTGCTTAATTCCTATTAACAATGAAGATACTTACATAGGTACTTTTATAAGATGCATAATTTATATTAATTTTTTTTTGTTATAGGTAGGTACAAAATGCCTCGTTTGTATAAGCCAGACCCAAAAGGAAAAAAATACAAAAAGTATGATGAATCTATAATACAACAAGCCGTTGAAGAATATAGAAAATCGAAAATGTCATTAAAGATTGTAGCTGAAAAGTATAATATAGATAAGTCAGTCTTGTATAGGCACAGTACAAGAACAATGCGAAAACAAGGTGGACAAACCATTTTTTCGGAAGAGGAAGAAAAGGGTATGATAAAATATATAAATGTATGTGCAGAGTGGGGCTACCCTTTAGATTCTGTAGATTTAAGATACCTGGTGAAAAGTTATTTGGACAAACAAGGGAGAACTGTACTGAAATTTAAAAATAATTTCCCGGGACCAGATTTTGTTGCAAGCTTTCTTAGAAGACATAAGGATATAATCTCACAAAGAAATTGCCAGAACATTAAAAAAAACAGGGCAGTTGTCTCACCAGAATCGATTAGAGCTTACTTTCGGGAGTTAGATGTTTCATTGGCAAATATTGAGCCCTGTAATATAGTTAATTACGACGAGACCAATCTAACCGACGATCCGGGTCGCAAGAAAATTCTAACAAAACGGGGAACAAAGTACCCTGAGAGAGTGATGAATCATTCAAAGGTATCAACTTCTGTGATGATAGCTGCTAGTGGAACCGGTGAATTGTTGCCACCATATGTAGTCTACAAGGCTCAAAACCTTTATGATACTTGGACCGAAAATGGGCCACCAGGAACACGATATAATCGGTCGGCAAGCGGATGGTTTGATGCAAATATTTTCGAGGATTGGATAAAATCAACCGCGTTGCCTTATTTTAGAGGTAAAGAGGGGAAGAAGTGTCTCATAGGTGATAACCTATCCTCGCATCTGTCTTTAGATGTGATTAAATTGTGTCATGAAGAGAACATTACGTTTGTTTTTTTACCAGCAAATAGTACGCATCTGACACAACCATTAGATGTGGCCTTTTTCCGTCCGATGAAGATTGCGTGGCGCAACATTCTTTTAAAATGGAAGAAAACCGATGGAAAAACACAAGCATCGGTTCCAAAAGGATGCTTTCCAAAGCTTTTGAAAAAACTTTTTATTGATATCAACCAAAAGGCCAAAGATAATATTTTAGCAGGTTTCAGAAAAACAGGCATATGGCCCATTAATGAAAATCAGGTTTTGGGTAGATTACCTGAGGAAAATAATAACGAAAACAAAGAAGATGCTGTGGAAAAATCTGTCCTTGATATTCTTAAAGAAATGAGATATGGTACTATGAATGTAACTGAATCAAAAAGAAAAAGAAAATTAGATGTAATTCCAGGAAGAAGTGTTGGCACTGAAACTGAAGAGTATGTGGACACAGAGGAGGATAATTTTGAAAATACCCAGAAAATAAAAACTGCAGAAACCACTACAATACAATGTATAAAGACAAAGAAAGGCAAGGGAAGAGGAAAAAGAACTAAAAAACCAGACCAAGACCTAAATGGAACCGAAGAAGATAAAATAGAAGTTGCAGATACAGAAACAATACCTAGAATAGAAGTTGCAGATATATGCAGTAATGTTTGAAGACATTACATTATTCGGGGAAGAAGTTGAGATTCCGCGAGACGACAATTCACAGCAATTTGACGATTTATATTTCAGCGGGAACTTAAAATTGATTGACGATACCATACATGAAGAGAGGAGAAATAAAATAAAAATTATCGCCAACGAAAATTTATCGCAGGAGTATTTTATTACCATGAAAAATAAAATACCATTACCGTTGAAACCTGTTTCTAAAAATACTCCTTTAAACATTTTAAAGACTAAAATTGACCAACCAAGCACAAGTGGTTTGAAAGTAAAAACGATGTCGCGGAAACCATCTTATTACAAAAACGATTCAGAAATTCTTAAGGATTTAATGAATGATTCGGACTAATTGCATAAAAGGGCTCTTCGTGTCTAATTATTTATAAACATCCATTGAATTGTTCAGTTTGGATGTCAGACAAAAAATATGATTACTACATACTTATTACTTATAATTCTCATGTGCAATTAAAAGGCTGATTAGAAGTTAGAAAGTAAACTTTGTTTTTATTTACTGTCTTAAAACATATATATAGCGCCTTCAAAAATCTATTAATCTACCTACATATAGAATAATTACTTTGAACGTGCTGTAATAATTTAATTGTTTAAAATGAGACAACCCTACATAATTTTTCTATTAACCCCATATATCGTATCTATTGACCCAAACTCCTGGGTAAATAGAGATAGCTAATATTTATGCGTATTTCGTTCAAAATATACATTAAAAATAGCTTTTGAACATTATAAAGTTTAAAACCAACCTTGACTCATAATATAATTGCATTAAATACAAAGAAAACAATCGAAAACAAAATGAATGTCAATTTCAAAGTTCCAAACTGTGTCTATTCACCCCGTTTTACGGTACCTACTTTTTGAGAAAAAAATAATGAAAATCAACAATTTTTGCAATATTTATGTCAATTGCTACCGTATAACTGACGCCATTTTGTATTGTCGTTGTCAGTAGGGATTTCAATTCTTTCCGATAAAGTTCGATTTTTTAAATCGATTCGAATTGTAAGCTGATGTATCGGTTAACCAAAAATCGATTTCTAAATATCTATATTTTTTATGTTTGCATTTATAATGTAAATATAAATCCATTTTATGAGAAAAAATCCCCATCATCATAAAAAATAGGGGGACTGATTCAGAAGGATTTCTGTATCTATTTTGAGACTGCTACGTCTCCGGCGCTGCGGGAAGAGCAGTCTCTACGCCTTTATTTGTTATCTGCCCTAATAGGTACTGTTAAAATAAAACAAATTTCAATAAGAGATCATTTATTATGGTATCTTTCATGTTTTTCATAAAATGGATTTATATTTACATTATAAATGCAAACATGAAAATATATAGATATTTTAGAAATCGATTTTTTGTGAATCGATACATTAGCTTACGATTCGAATCGATTTAAAAATTGATCTTTTTCGGAAAGAATCGACATCCCTATTGACAATGACAATACAAAATAGCGTCAGTTTTACGGTAGGAATTGACATATATATATTGCAAAAATAATTGATTTCCAATATTTTTTTCTCAATAAGTATGTGTTTCCACATGTTGAAACTTTGCCTGTATGCTTATAATAATGTATCCT